CTTAGGTGGAATGCCTCGTTTCCAGTAAAAAGGGTCTCCGGTTCTCTACACTTACCATACGAAATACAGCAGCATTAAGCTACTATTTGACGCTGGTATTCTGTGAGAGCGTGGTTCCTCCCCGGTCGAGCCGACCCATTCGTGCTACAACTATACTATTAATATAACTACAGCATGGCTCTACCACGTGAAAAATTATTTTCTATCAATAAGAAAAAAAAACTAGAGATAGGATTTTTAAAGTAATTTGTTTATGGGGGTCTGAGATATTAATTTTGGAGAAGAGGTCTTTTGCCCAAAATAGTTTGGGAATCACTGCTATTGATAGTAAGGCATTAGAATAGTTATAGTTCGAGACACGAACGCATCTCTCATTTAGAGTTTGGGAATTCTCGACAATTTCGAAGTCCCGGGACACGAGACAGTTTACTATCAAAGTCCCGGGAATTCCCGGGTCTTCGACTTTTAAGATAAAATTTTTTTATGAGGGTTGAGCCATTTTTGAAGGATTTTAATTAGTTAATGTCTTTTAAAAATCAACATTTATTAAACAGAAAGTTAAATCTTAATAACTTAAAAGTTAATTTAAGTTCTAATAGTTGCTTTGTTTATTTCTTTTAATCAGACACAGATTCACTTTCAAGCAGTTAAATCTTATAGTTACAAAACGAACTTAGTTAAAAATCATACTAATTCTTAATAACTTTACTATTATCTAGTAACTCTAGTATCTAATCATTGGTTATAATCACAACATTGTTAATTCTCCTTATCACAGATTTGTTTCATATTTAATAATTTTAATAAAAATCATAAAACACTTACTTATAAATCAGACTTTCAAATAATTAACTAACACATTAATTAGACTTCCTTGCTTATTTAATAAAATAAGCTTTAAAAAAAATCAAAGCGTCAACAGCTTTCTCCGACAATCTGTTTCTGATTTTTATAATAATGCCACCGGACAAGGAGAACACACACTCTCGTTTTCTACAGATGTCAGTTTAATTGTGTTTAAGGCTTTATACAGTAGTTCCAAACTTCCTGTGCTTTTTCCGGTTGTTAAGTTAAAAAAAGGAATTTCAGTTGTTCAAACTTGTCGGTTAAATTGCGTTCAATGCTTTATACAATAGTTCCAAACTTACTGTGCTTTTTCAAATTTCAACAACTGAAACTGGTTTTTTAATTTAACTAACAGATGTCGTTAGACTCCTTCAATTATTTGAAAATAAAAATGATAACATAACAAATTCGACAATCTTGTCTCGTCTCAAGTCTCGACCCGAAAGTCCCGGGACTCGAGATAACTAAAATTACAAAAAGTCCCGGGATTTCGAGACACGAGACGTCTCGGGACCCAAACCCTACTCTCATTGACCGAATCAAAACAACGATGCATATTACATCCAGTCATATCTCCGATGTTTTTCTATTCATAAATTAATATCTCTTATATATCTATTATATATATAATATCTATTATAATAATCTCCCGAGTCTTCCACGGTAGGTTCGATCGATGTTCGCGGTTCTTTTCCGATTGTGGTCTAGGAAATCAGATATAATGACGGTATGCGGTTACAATAACTAAAGTCTCGCCGTTTTTTAAAAATAATAAGCGTGACGAACGAGCACACAATCCACTTGACGGTAAATGGATGCTGTGGCCCATATACATCTACATTTATCCTCGATTAAGAATCAAAATAAATACATTGTCGCCCCTGAGGACTAAGATGGAATGCCGTTGTACTAGGGGAGCATATGCGTATACGGTTTGTATAAAAAATAATACCTATGTAAAACCGAATTCTTAAAAATATTAATAACAAGGAATCGCAGTATTTGCCTAGTGAAATATAAGAATTATTGTCATCATTGCAGGTTGGTGGCCGGGCTTGCTGCGTCAGTCGCTCTCATAGTGATTGAGTTCATAACCTTCATACTGGGACTAACCATGTTCTCTCCATCCGTTTCACTAACTTGTATCCTTTTGCTAAACAACTTAACCCTTATGACCCACAAAATTGTTTCCTGTACTTATATCGCTATAATTATTGCTTATTATCTATGCTTCTAACAACTTTGCAGAACCATAGTTCGGCCATTTTGCTATAGAAAAACGAAATATTTAGTTATTGTTTGTTGCTTGCTGACAATTATGTTTTAAAAATGCACGCAATGTTATTAAGTTTATTATTAAAGTAAATATGAATAAAAAAATAAATATGAATAAATGAATTAATAACTTAGTAACGAGCAATTGGTAGGTGTTATATAAAGAATAACTACAGTCAACTTAGGCTTCATCATTTTGAGGAAAATAACATAAAAAATATTCGCCGTAAATATTCAGGGATATTTTTCAAAGAGTAGTGAAATTTTTAACTTTAGTTTAAATAATGATATATTTTAATTTGCAATTATCCAAAATTGAATGTGATGCCCATAAGCAACGACGTTTATTTGCCTATCGATCGACCCTTAAGGGGCTATATGACCTCAAATGGCTTAGCAAGATCCTCTGTTATGTCGAAACTACTGCATCATTGTTTTTGAAATAAATATATGGTGAAGTTGAGGATTAATGTTAAGTACTATGTTAGACGAAAACACGATTCCATAAAATTTTCTCGGTAGAAAAAAAAATCCAAAGTTACCTCTAAACCGAATTATAAACCGCTGGCATTCAAAAAATACTTAAAATGATATCATGAAATTTTGCATACTAACTGAACTAACTATAAAGCAGGTCTTATGTTATTTACTTTTTTTTATTTATCATTACTTTCACCGTAAAAAGAAATTACCTAAACTATCGTCGTTTTAAACCGCCCGACACCAGTGTTGCCGTTTTAGCGACTTTCTCGCTAGATCTAGCGGATTTTAACAATGTTTAGTTGATAAAAAAATCGTTTTAGCGAGAAATAATTATTTAGCGACTTCTAGCGACGTTTGGACTTTTGCGATGGCGACTTTTTTTATAAAGTAATTTATTTCAAATAAGTCATTTATCATATGTCCAATTTTGTAATCTACCGTTAGTAACACTGTATATATAATATAATTTCACGGGAATTCCCGAACATAAACTAACAATTCAATGTCTTTCATCACTTTTATCTGTTTCGATCTTAGACCATGGTCTAAGGTTTCGACATACAAAAATGCAGCATTAGTAAACATATTCGAAGATTTATGTAATTTTGCAATAGTAATACTATATTACTATTACTATATTACTATATACTATCCCACTCAAATGCAGAATTTGAACGCGTATTTGGTACTATGAATGTAGTTAAAAGCAAACTGCGAAACAAGCTATCACAAAAAACTTTAAATTCCATTCTTCTGATTAGAAATCTGTTAAGGATTAAAAAAAAAGAACTGCTCAACGTATGATATTCCTGAAGATGTTGTCAACGAAGTCGGTAAAGGGAAACCAAAGATGGGAATTGGAGACATTGGCGAAGCTTTAACTTCCGCTGAAGTTCTTTTTGTAGATCTAGATCCATATTTCGCTATTAATTTTGAAATTTAGGTACAAGAACATACTGAGCTAATTGTTTTATTTTTAATAAGATGATAAGTTCGTGGTAAAGATTAAGATTTTTTTTTTACATATTTTTTTTTGTACATGAATAATTTTCGTTTTGGTTGTCATAACCTACACTATAAATAATTAATTTTTATGAAATAGAGTCCACTATTTTTAAGGTTTTCTGAATTTATAGATTTAGATTTTCGGTATTCATTGTATACCGTTTGGCAAGATTTTTCAGTTAGCCCAATGGTACCACGAAAATGTACCTAGGGACATCTAGCGGATTTTAAGAAAAAGAAAAATCCTGTTTCTGGCGGATTTTTTCTGTTAGTCTAGGGACTTTAAAATTTATAGAACGGCAACCCTGCCCGACACTGTCATTCACTCAATTTCACTCTAGCTCCGGCTTTTGAAGGTAAGGGTTGTGTCGCTTGTGCTCAAAACACACATTACGCAACAGGACGACGTAAAATTAAAATATTAAAATAGACACTTAGGTTTATAGTGTTGGCGCAATGGGAAATAAGCGTAATAAAAATAAGAAGCGATTGGGTTGGCGTAAAGAAACGGGCAGACGTATGATAAACATAATGAAGTAAGTACATATCTACTTACAGTATTAGTGAATTATAAATATGTAGAAATTTAGCATATGACACGTTTGGTGCAGTGGCTAAGCGATTGGTTGCTGCGCTACTAGTCACAGGTGTTTCTGTATATGAAGATTTGTGTTTGTAAACACACCGTTCACGATTCAGGAGAAATCGAACGTGGGGCAACTTTTATGAAAAATAAAAAGATAAAAGTTACCTAAATAGGTTTGTTTCTGTTTTGACAATATACAACAAAATATTGTTTTTTTATAACGTTGCCCCACTCCAGGATTTCTCCCGAATCAGAGACGGTGCGATTACAAACACAAATTTTCACAACTATCCGTAGGCCATAAAAATATTCGTTCCGTATGAGAATCGAACCCCCGACCCGTAGTACAGAAGTCAAGCACTTAGTAATAAAAAATATAAGTGTGTTCGGTAAGTAGGTACCTACTTGTCTAACTATAAAGAAATAAAACTGTAACTTCCTTATCTGTCCTTACGTTTTCATTACTTCTCGGCGCACTGACTTAGCAATGAATTTCTGCGCTGGAGTCCGTGGGTTCGAATCCCGCACGGAACAAGTATTTGTATGACCTACAAATAATTGTTCCGGATCTGGATGTTTGTCCTTGTGCAATTTGTGTTTGTAAACTGCCTCCATGATACAGGAGAAAATCCTAGTGTGGGTGTAACGTTCTAAAAATTACTTATCCGACTATAGTGCTACCTACTACATTCATAAAAAATATGAACCTATTGAGTACTGACGTCTCTTGATAGTTTAGCTTTAGCTAAATTATTATAGGTAATGTATTTTTTCAGAAGTCGTCGATTTCAAAGTACTGAAGACGATGGTGATAAAGAGAATATTCCGGTAAATTCGTGAGTATCTTCTACCTACCTAAACATGTAACAGATATGTTAGTACACGTGGCTACATAATTATCAAACTATATACTCCAGTATAAGCTGATCTCAAATTGTAGAGGCATTAGGTACAATGAGAGGTCAGCTTATACTGGAAAATAATAGCTTGATATGTAGCCACGCGTAATTGCACCAAATTTATACTGTAATAATAAACGTAGGTAGGTAATTATTCATTATTATTCATGCGGCAAGTCTGTTTTATGGATAATTTCGTCTTCTTTTGTGTATTTTTAGGGTTCCATATCCAAATGGTAAATAAAAATATCTCATACCTAGGTAGGTATTATTAACTTGCCACGTGTAATTGTTATAGGATCCAAATAACTTCGAAAGATGTAGAAATAAATTTGGACGAAACAAATCTCCATATATTACAAAATGTAGAATTGTAAGTACCATACGTGTTTGATAATCACGAAATTTGCTGTTCCCCCATGACACTACCGCTTCGTAGGTACTAACGCGTAACGGTACTATCACGAAATTGGCGATTTCACGATAAAACTTTTCATAATGTTGGAGTTTTTAGGGTTCCGTACTATTTATTCGTTTTGACAAAATTATGCTTCCAGGTTTACTTTTATAATGAATGTCGCGTTTTCTTGCAGATCACAAGTACTACCTGAGGACATGAGCTGTTCACTCAATATACATAGTGACAAAAGAAGATTGGATGCGTAAGATCTTGAATAATAATACTCTTGATCTTATTAGTAACCAGTTATTGCCTGCGCCTTTGTCTGCGATCCAGGATAAAAAGTAACCTATATCCGTTTCCAGGATATGATCTACCCATGTGCGAAATTTCAGCCGTTTTAGCGTGAAAGTGTGACAAACAAATAAGCAAACTCAATTTTTCATTTATAATATTAGTTAGGAAGTTAGGATTATAATTTCTTACTTCATATACTAACCAAAACTATCTTTTTTTTAGACATTCACACAACCCTCCGCAATACGACACATCAGATGATGAATGTGATGATGGTGATACTAATTGGTAATTATAAGATTTTTATATAAGAAGAAGGTTGTATGTTATGCAGTTTAACAAGAATTCATCAAATATTGTTATGCTGGTTATTTCAGGTACGAAGTGAGTTTTAACAATCTTCTAGAAGGTAAAAGCAGTTTTTGTGTAGAAGGACGAAGAATAATAGACATTGACTATTTTTATAGAGGACTTCAAGAAATATGCAATCATAATAAGGCTTTAGGATGTACATTGAGCAACGTTCACATTTTATCAGAAAAAAGAAAAGGTCTTCTTTCCAAATATAAATTAGGCTGCAATTTCTGTAACCAGACATTTTGTCTTGATTCTGAGCCTAAATCAAACCTAGACTTAAACAAATCTGCAACATCTGGTATTATATCTTCTGGAATTGGTTATTCTCAATTTAGCGAATTATGTGCATCAATGGATTGTCCGTCTTTCTCTCCAAGGCATTACGCTAAACTTCAAAATGAGACGTATGATGACTGGCAAAAAACAGCTATAATTGCGATGGAGACAGCTGCAGTACGGGAACGAAATGCAGCTATAGCGGAAGGGCGCGTAAAAAACGGCATTGCTTGCATAGATGTCATTGCAGATGGTGTCTGGAGTAAACGTTCCTTCAACACAAATTTTTCAGCCCTGTCTGGAGCTGCCGCTATTATTGGAAAAAGGTTCGGCGAGGTTTTATTTATCGGGGTGAAGAATAAATATTGCTGTATATGTGCGCGTGCTGAAAGTAAAGGTATCCGTCCAGGCGACCATGTGTGCTATAAAAATTATAGCGGTTCTTCTACAGGTATGGAGTCTAAAATATTGTTAGAAGGATTTAAACAGTCCATTTCCATGCATAACCTTACATACGAACGTATGGTGGCAGACGGTGACTCATGCACATATAAAAAAAATTTGGAATGTCGTCCATATCCCAATTGCACCGTAGAAAAGGTAGAATGCAAAAATCATATTTTAAGGAACATGTGCAAAAAGCTAAAGAACATAACTATGGAAACTAAATATCTTTCCAATTTAAGAAAAAAAAATAACTACTCAAAGAATCTTAGCTATCCGTAAAGTCATTTGCTCCTCCATAACTGAACACATTTTTAAAGACACAAACTTCGACACAAAGGTAAATAGCCTATTCACAGATATCATGAATTCTTACAATCATGCATTCGGAAACCACGAAAACTGCCAACCATATTATTGTACTAGCCAAAACAACAGTGAAGATCTTACTTTAATTTTGAAGACGTGTGCTATATGGTACAGAATTAAGTTTATAGTAAACACAGTAGCAGCTAAAGCTCGAAGCCTGATGAAATAGTGATAGCAATAAAGTAGAATCTTTTAACAGCATTATTGCCAAATTTGTTGGCGGGAAACGCATAAACTTTTCCTTACGTCGGGGCTATGATGCAAGATGCAACGCTGCTGTGGTATCATTTAATACAAAGCTCCCACTTACTACATTACACAGAGCTATTTTGGGGAGAAGTCCCAGGTCACTAGTGAAAAAATTGGAGGAGAAGCGATTAAAACAAAGAGAAAGCGCGTCTAAATACTTAAGAAAACGTAGGAAACTGTTTTTAAAAACCAAAGAAAACGATAAAGATTATGGTGAAAATTGTCAAAAGCCAGATATGACAACTTTGGAGTACAACCAGTGTAAGGAGGACTTCTTGAAAAATTTACCGAGTGCAGAAGAAGATAGAAAACAAATACAAAAATCAACTATTCTGCAAAGAGATTCCAGTGAGTGGTTAGAACTTAGAAGAAAACTTCTAACAGCGTCTAATTTTGCCAAAGTAGTGAATAGGCGTCAAAATACGAGTGTGAGAAATTTGGTAAAGAATATTATATATCCGAAGAATCTAAGCAATGTGCCATCTTTGAAACATGGCGTAGAGCATGAAGCAATAGCTGCGGAACAGATAGCATCACAATTAAACATTAAAATAGAGCCTTGTGGTCTCTTCATAGATAAAAAGTTTCCTTTTCTAGGTGCAACTCCAGACGGAATAGTGGGAGAAGACACAATCATTGAAATTAAATGTCCAATTACAGCATTTAAAACATCTTTGGATGAAGCTATAAATAATAAAAAAGTGATGTTTTGGAGAAAAACTAAAAACGGACTTGTCATAAATAAAAAACATCCTTGGTATATACAAGTACAAGGACAATTACATATCACCGATAGGCGAAAATGTATTTTCGGAGTATGGTCTGGATGCGACAAAGACATCAAAGTTGAAATTATAGAGAGAGATGACCAATAATGGAACCAAAGTTAGAACATTTTTATATAACATGCATGTTACCTGAGCTATGCGATCCCAGACATGTTCGAAATATGCCAATTAGAGATTTAAGCGAATTAAAATAAATGTTGTATAATTTTGACGATGTTTTTTTTAAAAAACTTATGGTTATTATCATAATCATACCTATCTACCTACCCTGCCCTACCTACCTAACCTACATACTTACCTACCTATCTATCTTATATTAATTCAAACCTTGTCCTAAAAATCAAGATTCATTTGTATAATATGTGTGTGTGTGTGTGTGTGTGTGTGTGTGTGTGTGTGTGTGTGTGTGTGTGTGTGTGTGTGTGTGTGTGTGTGTGTGTGTGTGTGTGTGTGTGTGTGTGTGTGTGTGTGTGCGCGTGTGTGTGTGCGTGTGTGCGTGTGCGTGTGCGTGCGTGTTGCGTGTGCGTGTGCGTGTGCGTGTGCGTGTGCGTGTGCGTGTGTGTGTGTGTTATATTACAACTAAAAAAGTAGTATGTAATACAAGGCGAAAACTATAGTGTAAGATTTTTTTATAGAATAGGGTGACAAACGAGCACACAGTCCACCTGATGGTAAGTGGTTGCTGCGGTCCATAGACATCTACTATCCCAAATAACGAATCAAAATGCAGATGCGTTGTCACCCGTGAGGACTAAGATGGAATGACTCGTTTTCAGTAAAAAGGGTCTCCGGTTCTCTAGACTCACCATACGAAACACAGTAACACTAAGCTACTGTTTTACGATGGTATTCTGTGAGAGCGTGGTGCTTCCCCGGTCGAGCCGACTCATTCGTTCTACAACTATACTTCTAATATAGCTGCAGTACGGCTCTACCACGTATATATTGTAAGTTTATAAGATTGTAAAATGCAAAGCGTAAACCTACTACCAAGCCAATGTACCTACCTACAGAACTTTCAGTGCAATGGTTCGCGCTTGACTAGGTTTTTGTAGCAGTAGAATTTATACAGTGGTTTAGAATCGGTTTGCAAAATTTCTTATAGGTATGTATATGTAAGTACTTGCATAGATCTACTACCAACATAATTACATACGTAAACGGCTGTCACGTTACATACATACACGGCGAAAACTATAAAACTCAAGCTTACCACTAAACCAACAATGGGTGGATCCTTCCACTATAAGAAGAAATTTCCAGTATAAGCTGATTTCTATAAGCTTTCCGTTACAATGAAGGGTCAACTTATACTAGAACATATAATTTTATGTTCATATAATGACAAGTTAATATTAAATTATTACTGAAAATTTTATTACTTAGTGCTCGTCCGATAAGAGTTTATTTTACTCGTAACATAATCTTTGGCTTTGTGTTCCCGCGTGACCTTGAGTCAAAGTGTGCGAACGAGTGGCGCGGCGAAAATGGAGGCGAAATTAGAATTTGAGCTGAGGTCCTATAGGCCGTTAAGAGTGTTTGCGTGCGCAGTAAAATCAGTTAAAATAATGCATAAGCACGCATTTTAAATTTAAAAAATAAAAAGGACAGTGTTTGACACTTTTTTACTTTAATTTTGCTTCAACATTTGACTATATTACTTATTCTGAACCTTCTCTGCAAATTTGGCCGGTTATTGAAAAACCATCCTGTATATGTAATATGTAGGCCTTCTGTTGTAAGAGAATCTATAGCTTCCGATAGATGGCGGTATTGTAGACATAATCGTTTGTGTCAGACGTAAAATTAGTTCTCCAGATTGACAGCAGACAGCAGGGACAAAGACGTCTGACATGGTGATCGGCAATCCCAGACTGATAAGGCATCCTAGGGGCTTATACTCCCTTCGACTGGAAAGGCCGTTACTCAGCAGTAAACCTATACGGGTCGACAAAGATTTGTTAAGCTTAGTTTGGTCTTTAAACATTCTTCACGACGTACTTGAAGTTATTACGTTATGAATAAAGAATTTATTATTATTATTAATTGGACAGTACTTTTCTTATCGTGCACTCTTAATAAAAATCTGGTAGTATTAGGTTCGACGGGAAGAAATTTTTTCCATATGCATGAAAACCTGTGCACAGCCGCAGTCTGTTTACAGCCTAATGTTTTGTAAATTTCGGATATTTAAGAAATGAGAAATAGTTTGATAAGTGGCTCACTGGGGGGGGGGGGGGGGGCAAAGTATAGTCATAAACATGATAAGAGATGCGAATAAACACAGATAATTCTACATAACGACCGGTCTACGATATAGGGATTAGTGATTTATGTGCTAATAATCGTTCATTATCTCGCTTGCAATTATTATAAAATATCTCTATTATGAGCGAGACATTTTACAAGGATGATTCTAATTATTACACAAGTCATACTAATTGTATTTCACTTTACTCGTAGATATTTGCAAAAATGTTTTTCATTTTCATGTTATGTTTAAAAAAACATATTTTACTGTCGACGTAATAATTTAAAAATATTAAACGTCAAACTTTTTTTTTTAAATCAACAAGAGATATTTAATTGCTATTTAGAAACAATTAATTCCCTGTACTAAGAATATTCTGTTGACTCTCAACAAAAAATAGTCGGCAGCAAAAATATTTCAATTGTTTTAATTGTTGAAAAAAAAAAAGGGGCGTTTTTTTTCATTTTTTGTATATGTCCACTATTCCACGTGCTAATTGCAGGACGCATTGTAGATTGGGTCCAAAAACTGAGCTTTTTGTTATATTGTTTTATTTCTATTTGTTTTATTTTATTTGAATTGGAAAACCAGGGTAGATAGATTAATGTCTGAAAAAGGCAATTTGAATTAACAATACAGTTGTTATCTGTAGTACATAAATACTTCATTACTTATTTAACAGTCAGAGCGTTTGAAAATAAAATTAATAGAAAAATAATTTTAAACGATTTCAACCGATAACAGAACATTACGATACAAGGGACTAAGTAGCCGATTATTGAACCGTGTGAAGTTAGCGCACTAGCGAAGCGAGCTTTTTTATTTTTCTAAATTAAAAACTTCTCGGTAGTAAAAATTTGCCTCTTTAATGATATAATATTCGTATACATACATATATTGGTAATTATTTGGATGTAAATCCTTAATGTATCAACAGCTATTGGCAGCCATGGGCTTGGGTCCATCATTTTAACGTATTTCATTCTAGATGGCTGGATCTGCGATTGGTTTTGGCCCATTTTCATGTTATGTTCGGTGTTGCCGTCCTGTGTAGACATCACTACCGCTATTTATACTCTGTGTTATCTGAGGTGGTGAATAAATAATATTATGAAGATTACTTCTATATTAAGTTGTGCGAATGGATAAGATTTTTGTATAAATGCAATATTTGTATTATAAGTGCGCATACATACTGCGTGTTGACTTTGGTGGAAATAAAACTATAATATTAAATTAGTATCTACTTATTTACAGGTGATTTCGGCTACCATTCCCATTTTTGTTTAGATTGCAAGGAATAACGACATAATATTTATAATTATAAATATCAAAACCTGTACAAATATCTTGTAGAATATTCAAGTTAAAAATGAACTGGAACTTTTTATTCCTTCCTCTGTGGTGCCCATTGGAGGCAAATCTCAGCCATGGTTTGGTCGCTCCTGTAAAATAGCATCATGCTATAAGCAGCAGTGCTACCAAGCCTGGGCTGACGCATCAACGTCCCGGGATGTAAACACCAGCGCTCTAAAATGAAGTATAATTCCGCCTCTAGGTCCTTCAAAAGAGTCATTGCCAAGGCAAAGTCAGAGCACATAGGCAGAATTGGCGAGAAATTAGTTCGCCTTCCTTCTGGAACCCGTGCATTCTGGTCTCTCGCCAAGGTTGTCGACTGAGGCAAGACTGAGGACGACTCACTGGCCCATACCGCAAAGGAGAAAGCCGATCTGCTAGGCTCTTTCTTTGCGTCCAACTCGACTCTCGATGACGGGGGGAGTACGCCGCCGACCATCCCGCGGTGTGAGTGCTCCATGCCGGAAGTGCAGTTTACACAGCGCTCGGTTCGCAAAGCACTCCTCTCCCTGGACATCCACAAGTCGAGTGGGCCTGATGAAATCCCCCCAATTGTGCTCCAGAGTTGGCACCGGTTTTAACGCGTCTTTTCCAGTACTCCTACTCCCTAGGCGTAGTCCCAAAATCATGGAAGACGGCTTTCGTCCACCCGATCCCTAAAAAAGGCGACCGCTCAGACCCGTCCAACTACCGGCCTATCGCCATCACCTCCTTGTTCTCCAAAACAATGGAGTCTATTGTTAACTGCCAGCTCATGAGGTACCTTAAGGATCACCAGCTGATTAGTGACCGCCAATACGGTTTTCGCCGTGGTCGATCAGCTGGTCTGGATCTTCTGGTCTACGTAACTCACAGATGGGCGAAGGCAGTAGAGTCCAAGGGGGAGGAATTGGCCGTTAGTTTGGACATTGCGAAGACCTTCGATCGGGTTTGGCACAAAGTGCTTCTTTCGAAGCTCCCTTCCTATGGGCTTCCCGAGAAATTGTGCGATTGGATCACCAGTTTCTTGCAGATCGGAGCATCAAGGTCGTTGTAGACGGTGCAAACTCCGATTACAAGCCTATTAATGCTGGTGTTCCACACTTCTGCGTGCTATCGCCAACGCTGTTTCTTCTGCATATCAATGATATGTTGCAGACCCGTAACATTCATTGCTATGCAGATGACAACACTGGTGATGCTCTGTACACCGGCCGTGCCAATATTTCGCAGGAAAACCAAGTCTCGGATTGGGGGCGACTAAATCTAGTACAGTTTAACCCCAGAAGACAAATGTTTGCGCGTTAACCGCTAAAAAGAACCCCTTTGTCGTATCTCCCAAGTTTCAAGGCACTCCCCTTGTTGCCTCAGCCAGTATCGGTATCCTCGGCGTCGACATATTGAGTGACGTGCAGTTTCGTGGTCGCTTGGAAGAGAAGGCCAAATTGGCCTCTAAAAAGCTTGGCGTGCTCAGCAGAGCGGGACAGTATTTCATGCCGGTACACCCCCTGCAACTTTACAAGGCGCAGGTTCGGCCGCACATGGAATACGGTTCCCATCTCTGGGCTGGGGCTCCCCAGTACCAGCTCCTTCCACTTGACCGGTTCGAATCGTCGACGACCGAGTGCTTTCCGATCGGCTCGATTCACTGGCGCTTCGAAGAGATGTTGCATCTCTTTGCATTTTCTTTCACATATACCTTGGGGAGTGCTCTGAGGAATTGTTCGGATTAATCCCACGCCAAATTTCGTGAATGCACTACGCGGCAAACGTCCCGATACCATTCACACCATCTGGATGCTAGGCGGTCCACCACTGTACGTTTCACAAGGAGTTTTCTTCCGCGTACGACCTCTCTGTGAAATAGTTTACCACCGGCGATTTTTCCGGACCGATACGACCTGGGGACCTTCAAGAAAAAAGCTTACACTCTCTTCGAAAAGGCCGGCAACGCACCTGCAATTCCCCTGGTGTTGCGGTTGATCGTGGGCGGCGGTAGTCACTTAACATTAGGTGAGCCGCATGCTCGTTTACCCCCTCTTCATAAAAAAAATACAATACTGAGAGATGTTCCGTGAGGGCATGGTTCTTCTCCGATCCATTCGTGTTGCAACCATAATATAGCTGCATCGTAGTTCTACTAGCTCTACACTCGCTGTGTTGAGTTCCATAATATACATAAACCCTTACACCCTTCATTAAAAATCAAAATGTGGATACGTTGTCACCTCTGAGGACCAACATGGAATTCTTCTTATCAGAAAAAAAAGTAAACTTCCTTAAACTACTCGGGTCCGATGTAACGATTATCCGATAAGATGCGGTGAAGGTTTTTTTTATAGCATTGGGTCAGAAACGAGCACGCAGTCCACCTGATGGTAAGTGGATGCTGTGGCCCGTAGACATCAACATTTATCCTCAATTAAGGATCAAAACGCAAATGCGTTGTCTCCCCTGAGGTTAAGATGGAATGCCTCCATTCCAGTAAAAAGGATCTCCGGTTCTCTACATTAACCATACGAAACACAGCAGCATTACGCTGCTATTTTACTCTGGTGTTTTGTGAGAGCGTGGTCCTGCCCCTGTCGAGCCGACATATTCGTACTACAACTATAATACTGCTGCAGCGTGGTACTACCACGTAAAAAATTCGGTTGAATAGTGTCCGAGGCACGGGGACAGTCTTAACAGAACCGGACTCGAAAACTAACAAATAGGTAAGTATGGTCTACTCGATACAGTTCTGCGTACTTGACGGTAAAGGAAAATATCATGATGAAATCTAAATTCAAATAAATAAACATCTTCATTCATAACCCTTAAATAAATGAGGTCTATTGCAGGGCACAGTGGCACAATTGGTTGGGAGGCCCCAAGTATAAGTTTAACCTTGTTTATTTGAATCGTTTTGGGGATTGCAAAACAAATTGCATAATCACAATGATCTGAGTTATATCTGGGACCGAATTCTTTCAAGGTTGAAACTTAGAATCCACGACTCAGTTATTACAATCCATAAACGGGGCGATCGTTTATATTTTATAAGAAAAATTTTGTTGCAGATAATCAATGAGCATCAGCATTTGACGCAGACTCTCGAATACAAACCAGGATGGTCGTTCTATTTAGTGCTGGCCGGTGTGGCAACTACTCTCGGCTCCTCGCTGCCTGTTGGTTACAACATTGGGGTAGTGAATACACCTGCAGAGGTAAGACAACAAGGCTGATATCATGAACTTTTCGTTTGCATTTACTGTTTAACAGTTTCCCTGTCGGCGATATAGATACAATAGTTAAACAATCGCATACAATAAAAAAAATCTATATCTTTATTGTAGGACTCCATTTTTTGCATATAAGTACATCTGGGCAAGTACCCAAGTACGCCAAGCAGCAATGTCTTCGCTAGTGTGTTCCAGTCTGTAGAGTATAGACAAACAGTATTATTATTTATTACAGCCTGTGGGGCATTACGTCTTAGTCCTCAGAGGTGACAACGCATATGTAGTATCTCTGTTGAAAGCTGGTTGCTGATGTCTCTTAGCTACAGTAGCCACGTAGCATCAAGTTGACCGTATGTACGTTTGTTTCTTCAGTTTTGTTTTTTTTTAAACTCACGATAATCGCCATCAATAACCCGCATGGCTTTAACTAAGTCGCGCCATTTAAATATTAGCCTGCTCGTTTTGTACTATTGCCTTTTGATTTAATGGATATACATAGAGCCAGTATAATAACGGACTTAAAGGCTTTTTCTTTTTCACTAGTCTGTAAAAGTTCTAATACTGCTAGTACTGGACATGTGCCTTTACAGTTCTAGGAAAGATTTACCTTAATCGTGTTGTGTTACATCGATTGAAGAACGCAATACCTAGACGTTTCGCAAGTTTTACCCTGTTGCTGGTCTAAATATTTTAAGCCTGGTGTAAACGAGGTGATTAAACCGCCATCTTTCGGTAGACGTATGGACCTTCTAGCTTATCCGATAGTTGCCTCTTACGACACACACGATAAGAAATGGGATGCAAGGAATGCTACAAAACATGGTTCTGTTATCATGTTCATATAGTGATTCTTCACCCAGTGGAGTGTCTCTCTACGCTTACCAGTCCGAGGCCACCACTTGACAACTTTTCTTTTTTATCTGTTGTCGGTTTTTCGAGCTATACAGCCGGCCCATTGCCACGTCATTTTATTGCTGGGCTATGTGGATATCTTCTATGAAGTAACTTAAAATATAATTAATTTAACTTTAACTGAATTCGATTATATTAAATTATTTTAATATATTTTCCAGGTTATCAAGACATTTTGTAATGAGAGTTTTATAAGCCGCTACAATTTACCTCTAGACGATACATGGCTCAGTGTCCTCTGGTCTTCCATAGTGTCCATATTTATAATTGGCGGATGTACTGGATCCGTGCTCGGTTCCGTCCTAGCGAACAAACTTGGCAGGTATTGTGCAAGAATATTTCATTAGAGTTCAAGTTTAAACAATAAATCGGTAAAACTTACTGAAACAGAAATAGACTCAACGAACTTTACATCGTCAGGTTGTGAAGTCTTGTAAGACACTTTAATTTAAGCTTTTCTTACTTGATTTAAATTCAGTATCACCGTCCCCAGAGCTCGCAAGCAGTCCATTGCTGACCCGTCGAATAATAGAAAGAATGATCGATTTACTTTTTTATCGTGAGAAAATTCTCATGGATATCTTCCGGTGCGGAGTTAACTGAAACTTTATGTCGGACTCCTACCGACCAAAACCCCACGGTAGTCACCAGTTTCTTGAAAGGGAAGGCTAAACTGGCACCAAAAGCTTGGTGTGTTTAGTAGATCTGGACAGTAATTCATTTCGCATTCAACGGTGATTGGCGCGAATCGTCAATGTTAAGTTCTAGTTCTTTCCGATCGGTTTGACCTACACTGGTCTTGCGAAGAGAAGTTGCATCTCTGCGCATATTCAATCGCATCCACACAGATACGAGTACACATACAGAACTCAAAATTCCATCTTTATTATCTCAATGGTTGGCCGACCACCATTGCGATTCACCTGTAATTTTCAGCTTCGCACGACCCCTCTGTAATTTTTTTTGTCCTCAGCGGTTTCTTTGAAACGATACGATTTAGGGACCTTCAAGTAAAGAGCCCCCTCCTTTCAAAAAGGTTGGCAGTGGACCTGCAATTTCCCTGGTGTTGCAGATATTCATACGCGTCGGTGATATCATACCATCAGGTGAGCCGTATGTTCGTTTGCCTGGATGAGCATACATGGAGATCTTTGCGACGTTTTTCTTAGCGGTTTCTTACAATACCCAAAGAATGAAATAGGGGGCAAATAACAAAAATATTTTTATTGAGGATTACACTTTTGGTACTATCACTGCAAAACTGCTTATGAATTTCACTTAAGACTCGATAGCTATTTACTTTAGAGATGCCTCGTAAGTCGTAAACTTTAGCTGATACGTAAACGATACTTAAACTGATACGTACGTACTTTAGGTGATACGGTAGCGAAACATATGTTGTATTATCGACGGTTGTGTGTCTTTCCTACTGTGTAGGTTATAGTAGTGTTATTTGGAAAAATCTAGTGGACTGTAGGCAAGCTAGGGATGCCAGAAATAAACTGTCTTATAACCCAGGTCATAATGAGATTGAACAAGCTACAGATCAGGATAGCAACAAGTGATATGACACGTCACGGCTCCTTTAAAAAACATTTATTTTTTAGAGGTGTTACATATGTGCAGGGCACGTATAGGGGAGGGGAAATCGGCGGCCTATGATTTGCTATTATGTCCGGAGGTCGCTACATTTAGGGCTAAACATCTCGGCATTCCGGGATCACTCCCTGAAGTTGCTCACAACATCAAAGTACGGTTGAACTTCTTTGGAGAGATTTCATGATCATGATCATCAATAATCACAATATTACTGCCCACAAGCAAAATACGCGCTTAGAAGTGGAGTTGCGAAAAACAGCTCGTCGTAAACTAAGAATAGTGGTGTTAGTTTAAGTTAGTGTAAGTTAGTATAAGTAGTGGCTTTTCAAATTACGTAAGATAATACCATTTTATTTTTCAAGTGGATCCCACCGAATTAGTTTTCATCCTAAATCCTACAGTCTAACATACATACAAACAACTACCCCTTTATAATATGAGTGTGAAAGTGTACATTGTAAAGTTTGCTGCTGATTAAAGATTTAGGCGTATTTTGTTCCAGGAAGAATGCAACGATAGTGACAAGTGCCTTATCTATTGCTGGTGCGCTGCTATTCCTGCTGTGCCGTGCAGCTAACGCTGTTGAAATGCTCATTGTTGGAAGGTTACTGGTCGGTTTGTCTGCAGGTGAGTGCCGTGTGTAAATACATATGTTGGGTTTCTATGTATTCATTAATCAGGTGTTACTTTGCGGAAATCCTATATATAAGATGCGGGAATCCAGTATTTAGAGCTATTTTATAAAAACACATAGTAATTAAAGATGTTAAAAGATAATGGAAATCGTTAAAAAATTAAGTAAATCTTGTGACCGAGGGTCGCTCGATCTTACAATTTGTCTCTGTATCTAAGTGCTTTTTTCGACCCGTGGGTGTCCTAAGAAGCGACTATAGGAAATTCCAGAAGTCTTATAGCTTCCGATTGATGGTGTAATAACTACTTACTTCAGACGTTAAATATCCAGACCGGCGACAAAGGAGCAAGATGTCTGCTACTGCATTTATCAATCCGCCTCCTGAACGCGAAGACCAAGGCAAACCATACCTACTACTGGAGAGACCAATGTCTAGCTGACTTTTACCGGATGATGTAGAGATAATAAAAGAAAAATTTGTATCCAAGGGTAAAGTGACGTAAATGACACCGCCTTTTAGTAACCACTTGTCATACGAACTGGCGAATGTTACTTTAATTGGAATAACGGAAATAAATCACTAGATTATGAAGAGATTATCTGAATTTCACTTTATGGGATCATTTAAAATGTAATATTGCGTAAAATACTTATTGCCTAAAGCCTATTCAATAAAATACACTTAGGGATTTTAAATATTATGTTTATTGGATACGCATAAAAACAAGTTTAAGTGACAACATATATACATCTCACTGCTGGGCACAGACCTCCTCTCATTTCTGAGAGAGTTTTAAGGCAATGAAGTGTCCACCGTGCTGCCCCAATGCGTGTTAGGAACTTCACATGTCTTCGAAATATTTTTTGTTCACACGGCTCTCTTGATACCTATACCAGAATTTAATTATGCTTAAACAATTCATGAAGTCTCAAATACCTGTAAAGAAATTTCAGCTTTTTAAATTATAGCTGTGACATACCGACAGATCTTTGACTATCTTGAGAATTGCGTAAATGTTTTCTATATCTTTCCAGGCCTAACAACAAGTATCGTGCCCATGTACCTCACGGAGTTGTCCCCGTTGAGACTTACTGGAGCGATGGGAGTCGCCTGCCCAATGGGCGTCAATGTGGGCGTATTAGTAGGCCAGGTTATGGGCTTGAACTTCTTTTTGGGTAAGTACTTCATTATATTTCTATATTTAACGTTACACCAGATTTAGGAAAGGAATAATTCGTTTCTAAAGTAGTATACGGACATGTAAAAATAATGAACGAGAAAAGAGAAAGAGTAAAAAGTAGCGTGGCTCTACAAGCCACGTATGTAGGGTAAATCTTAGCGCACAAGCGTTTTATCGAGCACGGGGGCTTAGGGCGAGTGAAGACTTGAGGATATTGAGCCCTCCACCCGGAGAGGGGTCCTCCGCAATTGAGGCCTTAACGGCGGACACAGGGATTGTTCGTCCGTGCTGTGTGTTTACCGTGCGCTCCCATATGAAGAAGGGGTGGAGAACTCTGGCTCCATTCCCTCATCGAAAAGGAACCTCGCTGACCCTACGGTCTACCACCGTTGGGGCTACAGTAGTGGGCGACATCGTTCCCGTAGGTAGGCGTCCGGCATAATCGGCATAAACGAGGTCGAGTAAAACGTATGTTGTTTTGAGGCTTTCGATCAATTTGTATTTAAATTTTTAATGTCCAAATGTTTTGTTGCAGGCGGCGTCGACGACTGGCCTTATCTTCTTTCCGTCTACGCGTTGCTAGTCATTATATGTCTACCTGTATTATGTATTTTACCAGAAAGTCCAAAGTACCTGTTTATTGTTAAGAGAAATGAAGATACTGCGGTAAAAGGTAAATATATTTTAAGTTATAATATTTTACGGCTAGCTGCATATGTATTTATCATAGAATACTATAAATACATACATAATAGAACGGAGGAGTGGGCGGAGCCCGCGTAGCCTCTAAAATGTCACTAACACGTCAATTTACACGTATAAAATGCCAACAAGAGATGTGTTTTGACGTTTGTTCCAAATTTCGCATGCAAATTATTTAGAAAATGCCATATTGCACTCTATTTACAAATAAATACGTATTAAAATTTAATGATGATCTTGAACATTAATCAAAAGTCTAAAATGTGTAATTTTACTCAGTCTGTCAACACAGCGAATCGGGTTTGGCGACGCCAATCCTCGTATGACAGCCATTCTATTGTGTATTATAGTATTCTATGGTATTTATATATACATATTTCATTGTCACGAATCTTTAGAAAAACAGCTAGTACTATCGTAAAACATGGACCACACATTTATTACGACGAATTAGGTTTTAGTGAAAACATCACGTCCCGTGAATACCCAGGCAAATGGACGCAAAATTAGTCTAAATTAGTCTCCGAACTACGGCCCGCGTTCCTAATCCGGCCCGCCAGTGCCATCATCAAACCGGCCCGCAACAGCCAATGTCTTATTGTTGTTACTATTGCTGTGATAAGTTGAAGAAGAAAACACAGTATGATAATTATTTGATTTTATTTACTTAAAAGGTAAAACTTAACGACAGAAATGACGCAGAAAACTTAACTTAAGTATTTAATAAACATAATAATAACTGAAATGAATCCCACTGATCACAGTAAAACAAAAAACACTAATAAGATTTATGTAATTGTGATTTTTCACCGACAATAGCTTGTAGTTATGGATAAATTTTACTTCTACCAATTATTAAAAGAGATTTGAGATGCTCATCGGTTAATTTAGATCTGTAAACATTCTTTGTATACTTCATTCTGGAAAACGTTTTCTCACACAAGTACCAAAAACAATAATCAACCCACGAGCAAATTTATATAAATTATCAAATTGTAGTAGTGTGGCTGAATATTTCACATGTTTTAAAATGTGTGAAACATTTTTTACGTTTGCGATTGAAATAGTATTATTTCTGCCTGAAGGATTTGATATTGTTGTGTATAAATCAAGGAGATGCTGATTTTCTCCCTGCAGTCTTTCAAAAATTCAGTTCGGTCATATGATTTGTCATATCGAAATAGAATGCTAACTTCCACAGCCATTCACTATTTTCTAAATCGGCAAAGGGTCGACGCTTCTCATTCAAAAAAATTTCGTACTCTGCTCGAAGTTCAAAAAAGCGCATAAGGACTTTTCCGCAACTAAGCCAGCGTACGGCAGTATGATATGGTAAGTATTTTTTCCAATCTCTTCAATAAACTCGCGGAATTGTCGGTGATTCAGCCCACTCTTGCTCGGTGGTTTTAGAAATTCAAACATATTCAAACATTTTCCGCACCACGATATTGAACCACCATCATTTTCTACTGCCTCTGATACAAGTGCAACCACTCCTTTGGCTCAACTATTATACAGTATGTAACAAAATCCCTGTTGGTCGTTTCAGGGACGTATAGGTGTACACATAGGCATGGCAATTATGATAATGAAAATTTTTGTTGGTTGCTTTAAATGGGGTTTTTGGGTATCTAATAAGATAACTTAAGAAATATTAAATTTCTAAAAATGTTATTTGCTTCTGAAATACAAATTTACCACCAAACTGAACAATAAACCGCTGGTATTCATAAAATACTTTAAATTAGATCATGAAACTTTGCATACTAACTGAACTAACTATAAAGCAGGGTCTGTTTTTTTATTACCATTATTTTACTGTAAAAAGAAATTACCTAAACTATCGGCGTCTTGAAGCTTGTTTCCTGCGGTCCGATGAGTCTTACTTCGGCTTTCGAACGGGAAAGCTGTGTCGCTTACGATCAGAATACACATTAAGCAACAGGACGACGCAAAACTAAAATGGGAAATAACCGTGATAAAAATAAGAAGCGACTGGGTTGGCGTAAAGAAACAGGCATAAATATGATAAAACTAATTAAATATGTGTCTAACGACCTATCTACTTACGGTATTAGTGACTACAAACATGTCGGTACATAGCATACGACGCGCGGGGAAGTGGGGGCGAAATTAGAATTTGAGCTGAGTTACTATAGCCCCTTAAATATATGGAAATTGCTGAGTGATGACGCCGTAAGAAAATCTATCAGTAAATTCTTCCCATGGGTGGAGATGCATTAAAATAAATGTGGTTGCTAATGCTGTACGCTCGCCAAGTGTATCAATTATGAATATCGATGGATATTTTTTTTTATATAGCATAGGATGACAAACGAGCACACAACCCACCTGATGGTAAGTGGTTGCTGCGACCCATAGACATCTACATCTATCCTCGATTACGAATCAAAATGCAGATGCGTTGTCATCCGTGAGGACTTAGGTGGAATGCCTCGTTTCCAGTAAAAAGGGTCTTCGGTTTTCTACTCTCACCATACGAAACACAGCAGCATTAAGCTACTATTTGACGCTGGTATTCTGTGAGAGCGTGGTCCTTCCCCGGTCGAGCCGACCCATTCATGCTACAACTATGCTACTAATATAACTGCAGCATGGCTCTACCACGTAAAAATATTATTATATTAATATTATAGTATATTGAGTAAATACTCTAATACTGTCTTTGTACTGACTTGATACTATCTTTTTTTTTTTTTTGAGAATAATATGAACTTTATATAGGTAGGATCAGGTTGGTGGCTCTCATGTTACCATGTTTAGTTTATTTTTATAGGAGAGGGAGCAAGCGGCTCACCTGACGGTAAGGGACTGCCGCCGCCCATGAACAACCGCAACACCAGGGAAATTGCAGGTGCGTTGCCGACGTTTTAGAAAAGAGTAAGCTCTTTTCTTGAAGGAAAAATTGTCGGTGGTAAATAATTCCACAAAGAAGTTGTACGAGGAAAAAAAACTCCTAGTAAAACGCACAGTGACGAATTTTGACGGAATGTGCGTTCGTGAAATTCGGCGGCTGGAATTAATCCGAACAATTCCTCAGACGAGTCCCCGTGGTAGATGCGATAGAAAATGCAAAAGGGATGCAACATTTCAACAACTGATTTGCCGATTGAGCCGATCAGAAAGAACTCAGTCGTCGACGATTCAAACCGCTCTGCGCTGGGTGCGGTCAAGTGTCAGCAGTAATTCTTTTATAAGATTGTATTTCAATATTTATCTTTAAGTATACCCACCTGCGTAGGTAGAAAATAGGTTTTATATGAGGTAATCTATGGGGGAGACCTATTTTCAGTATATTTTAATGGGCTGTAATTAACGAACGAATGAACGTGTGCCGTGCAGAACTGAGTCGACTTCGCGGCGTGTCGGAGAGCGTGCTGGTCGAAGAGCTGGAGGCGCTGCGCGAGGAGCGCGACGCGCGTGGTAGTGCGGGGGGCGAGGCGAGGGGCGCGTGGAGCATGCGCCGCCTGCTGGCGTCGCATCGCTTGCGCCTACCGCTGCTGCTGCTGTGCGCCGCGCAGGCAGGCCAACAGACCAGCGGCATCAACGCGGTAACCCACCACGTCACTTAGCCTTTTATTGCACATCATTTTTTTAATAACGTTACCTCCACACTAAGATTTTCTCCTGGATTACGAGGGCAGTTTACATACATGCTTTGATCAATTACCATGTAGTGGCGGTGCATGAATATCCATATTATCGCGTGGATCTCATAAGAGGCGACTAGACTTGAGGAAAAGTATTGTTTGTAAATAACCGTGATGGTCCATCCTGTTACAAAAAAGTCCCCGTGAAAAATCATCCTGACATTGTCACTTTAGATAACTACTTGTAGCACAACGACTTATAACATGACTATATATGCATTTTAGGTTTAGTACTTAGGTTTTAATTCAGTAGTCGATTTTTTATTACCTTCCTTACCTAAGCTACGCAAAATAAACCGTTTTGATTGCATTAATATCCGTGAATGGTTTACAAAGGCGAAGAACAAAACCAAGATTTTTATAGTCTTTACTGATAACATAATCAATGTGTTCGGATTGTATCATTTTATGATCAAAATATACGCCTAAATCCCTAACATTTAGTTTTCGGCTGTTTTCCACTCCGGCGAATTGATAATAATGTAGAATTGGCTTAGTTTTTCGCGTAAAAGTAATACATTCGCACTTGCCTGCATTAACAGTTATATTATTTACCCTATAGTATTCAAGTAAACAGTCCAAGTCCTTTTATATCAATAGGTACTCATGTATGGCGTTAATTTTCCGAAAAATCTTCTTGTCGTTCGCATACATGAGGTAATTGGTATGTTCTATGCATGTGCCTATGTCATATAGGTATCAATAGGCACTCATGTATGGTGTTAATTTCCCGAAAAATCTTCTTGTCGTTTGCATACATGAGGTAATTATTATGTTCTATGCATGCGCCTATGTCATATAGGTATCAATAGGCACTCATGTATGGTGTTAATTTTCCGAAAAATCTTCTTGTCGTTTGCATACATGAGGTAATTGGTATGTTCTATGCATGCGCCTATGTCATATAGGTATCAATAGGCACTCATGTATGGTGTTAATTTCCCGAAAAATCTTCTTGTCGTTTGCATACATGAGGTAATTGGTATGTTCTATGCATGCGCCTATGTCATATAGGTATCAATAGGCACTCATGTATGGCGTTAATTTTCCGAAAAATCTTCTTGTCGTTCGCATACATGAGGTAATTGGTATGTTCTATGCATGTGCCTATGTCATATAGGTAGGCATTATAAAAAAGTGGACCTAAATGAGAGCCTTGGGGAACTCCTGTAGATATTTTTATATAGCTCGAGCGGTAACCACCTATTACGACTGCCTGTGAGGGTATATGATTCAGTCCACCGGAGCAAGTCACCGTGAATACCTAAGGTTTGTAACTTGTTGAGCAGGATCACGTGATCCACACGGTCGAAAGCTTTTTCAAAATCAGTGTAAATCACATTAACCTGCCCACTTTGATCCATATTCTCAAGAACAAAAGTAGAAAAATGCCGTTGGTAGTGGTGGTCGCCTTTACAAAAAACCATGTTGCTGCTCTTGTATATACTACTCGTTCAAGGATTTTAGCTGCTGTGTTTAAAATAGAAATACCTCTATAATTTTTTTATATCAGTTCGTGAACCCTTCTTGTGTACCGGGACTATATGTGCACACTTCCATTTATGCGGAAAGATTCCTTCACGTAGGGAGCGGTTAAATTTAAGACTCAAGGGGACAGCAAGAGATTTAGCACATCATGACCAAAAATAAAGAAGTTAACCCATCACTACCGGCACCTTTGTTCGTGTCCATAGTTTTCAACATTTTTTCAACTATTGTAGTGTTTGGCTGTATATTAGAAACTATGTCAGTACACATCGATTCCGTATGTGGAGATGTGTAATTATTACTAGGTATACCAAAAGCACTCTGGAAGAATGAGTTGAAAGCATTGCATATGTCTATACATTCGGTGTACTCTGCACCTTCCAAAGACATTTTCTTGGGATATGCTGACCCACCCCGCATGGCCTTGACGAAATTCCGGAATGTTTTCGGGTGTTTTTTGATGCTGCTTTTACAACTCGATTTAATCTTATTGTAACATTCTCTCTGAACAGGCGTTCTCTTGCTCGGAGTAATGAAAACTCATCGTAATCTAACCTATTCCCGAATTTTTTCCAACGTGTGTGAGCTTTTGTTTTCTCCTTAATTATTTTTATTAAAGTGGACGTGTACCATTTAGAATAAGACCGCTTCCCTGTGTTATTACCAAAAGGCACATGTAAACGAACACAACTATCCACATGTGAAAGGTGTCTGTAGCCTCGTCTACAGTGCCTCTACACAAAAGAGAATGCCACTCCTGTTCCAAAAGATACATATTAATGCTATCATAATGTTTTTTACATGACGACATAAATTGACTTTACATAACTCACATTTTATATTTCATTTTCAGTTACAAACGTTACAAGAAAACGTAACATTTTTTTAATACCGTACTAAATTTCTTCACTACATCTATAAAGAAGTTTTACTTCAAAAATTAAGTACATAATAAAAGGTTTTTGATAACTCTGATACATATTTTCAAGTTTGTATGAAAAATTGAATAATGGCAACTTTGCTACTAGCGTAAACTTTGTAACTTGCAATACAATTAGAGGGACAAATCCTAGCTCTGAGTGGTGTGTATTATATTATGTGGTAAACTCACTTCATCCTTGAAGTTATATCCCGATGGCAAAGTTGTTACAAAGTTATGTTAATTTTGTCATGTCATGTCATGAATTATTAGTACCTTACATACATTAGTATTTCTTTTTAAATCACATAAATACCAAATCTATGAAAAATATAGTATCCCATTTAACATTAATGCCCTGTCTGAGAGTACCTTTTATGTTGGAAAATTGATTCTAGACTTTTAAGTCCTTCTAAAATTGGCGATGTTGTCAGGTTTCACGGAATTGCAACAGATTTCAAACAAAGAAAATAACAAATGTGTTGTCAACCCAGAGAACCTCTTAAGAGCACTGTATCTAATTATTATAGACCATTATGGGTGGATAATAATTATATTTTTTATAAAATAGGGGTTACAAACACAGTGGTGCAACATCTAGCAGTAGTTTTAATTTAGTGATGCTCGCTTCCAGGTGTTCTACTACTCGCAGATGATCTTCAAGCAAGCGGGGCTGACGGAGGCGGGCGCGCAGTACGCGACCATCGCGTGCGGGCTAATCAATGTGTGCACGGCGGCGCTCATGCTGCGCATGCTGCCGCGCGCCGGCCGCCGCCCGCTGCTGCTGGCCTCCTCGCTCGGCGCAGCGCTGGCACTCGCCGCGCTCGCCGCTGCCATGACCGCCATAGTGAGTGCCTTTGCTTCAACTTCACACTAACTAAAAAAATCCGAAATATTCATCATCACTGCCTTTGTCATCAAACTTTTAAAAAAATTTAGTGCTTATGTCTCCACTTCATTCTTACTTTAAAAAAAATATTTCAACACAGTCATCCTGAGTACCTTTGTCTCAACTTCAACTTTAAAAAAACATTCCAAAACCTTCACCGTAAGTGCCTTTTCACCACTTCACTCTAAATGGAACAAAAATTCAAAAACCGCCATCTTGAGTATCTTTGTCTACTTCACTCTAACTTAAAAATTCTGAAAGTATCATCGTAAGTGCCTTTGCCGCCACTACACTTTAATTTAAAAAAGTCCAAAACCTTCATCGTGAAAGCACTTCACTCTAACTAAAAAAATCGTAAAATTATGCCTATAATGGAGGTTAGAGGCAAGGAGGACTAGCTCTGTGTATGAAAAAGTGTCCTTGAAATGCGTTAAATTAGGGTGGCGCTTCAATAGCAGTAAAGCAAATTTTGAATTAATTATTTTAATTTTTCAATTAATAAATTTTGTTTAGAATTAGAGAACAAAATTCATCAATAACAAAATGAAAAAAAAAAATAATTGGATGAATAAATTATTAGAATAAATCATACAAACGTTTGAAAATACATATTAAATTTTTTAACTTCTTAGGCGAATGCTACACGCGTGATATTTATCACAATCCTTGGATCGCGATCCGGGATCGTGATATTTATTGAATGTGTAGTATCAAGTATTGATGGATTGCGATACGGATCACAGAATTTCTAGATTTCCGAAAATCCATATCGCGATCCAAGCACACACTTTGCTGCGATACGGATCGCGTCAGTCTGCTCTGGAGAAGCGATAGAAGAGGACGACGTTTGTAGCGATACGGGCGAAATTGCAAACCAAAGTGAGAATACTATTTCAACGGGACCATCTACAATCTATCAAAAATATTTACAGGCTTTTATATTATGTTTGGAAACAACGCCCATATTATGGGACACATCGTGTGATGGTTTTAAAAACGATTGTAAGCGCATGAAGCCACTTCAGAAGTAACTACCAATTTATAAAAATATAAAAAATGACGCTTCAACAGAAGATGTTAGAAAAAAATAGTTAAAATCGACACTCTCCTTTTTAATATTATTGCCATAATGATAGCCGCATAAGCTTTAAGCAAGCTTTTATATGTGGTAGAGCCATGCTGCAGTTATATTAGTAGTATAGTTGTAGCACGAATGGGTCGGCTCGACCGGGGAAGGACCACTCTCTCACAGAATACCAGCGTGAAATAGTAGCTTAATGCTGCTGCTGTGTTGCGTATGGTGAGTGTAGAGAACCGGAGACCCTTTTTACTGGAAACGAGGAATTCCATCTTAGTCCTCACGGGTGAAAACGCATCTGAATTCTGATTCGTAATCGAGCATAGATGTGGTTGCTGTAGCCCATACACCACTTACCATCAAGTGGACTGTGTGCTCGTATGTCACCCTATCCTTTTAAAAAAAGCTTTTTCTACATTTCGGTCCATTTTAGATATGTCTGCACTGAACAGTTTTGTGCCCAATACTGACGTGATCCGTAATGAACGTGTAGGGTGTGTCTGTATTCCAGATCGCGTCCCAGATCGTGATAAATATCACGCGTGTAGCATTCGCCTTACACTTCAATCCATCTACAACTGCTACATTCATACCATATCCCTGTATCTACACTAGCGCCATTTGGAAGATTTTTGAACTGTTATTTACAGCTTACAACTTGACACTTTTTCATCTTGTCCCCAATATGAGATAGTCCTTACCTCTACCACAGTTTAAAGACCTTATAGTTGGGAAACGAACGTACTTGTGTAGAGCAAAGGTGAGGGTACTGCGGGGCAGGGGGCGGGTCGACCATAATGTCGACCGAAGCACAACACTTAGTCTGATAGACAAATTACATAATTAATTTTACCAATCGAAAACTGAAGACATCTATATAAAGAAAGTGTCACCAAAATATTTGGCAGTGTGTTGTGTATGTACGCGTCTGCGTCCGCGCCCATTAATATTGCGCTTGCAATTAAAGCAGTACGTTGACAGTCGTCAAGTGTTTCACTAGTCTCCTGCGCTCCGTATCGCGAACTAAACATTGGCGACGAGTGCTTACCCACATTTTAAATTAAAAAAAAATTCGTTTAACTGTGGTTTCCTTCCAACTTTTAATCACGAGTTGCAATCGTGAAAGATATTTAGAACCAGAATCACGCAATGGTTCATTGCAAACGAGATAAATGCCTCAAATGATGCCGCAGGAGTAAAACGGCGACCCATTCTTCTCAGCGCATTCGCCGACGGTACGTTCAAGCTTGCCTCAGATCTCGCTGTACCAAAGGATCTCCAGCAAATGTCGTTTGAGGATATCCTAACCATCTTGGATACTCATTTCACACCGAAGCAGGTTGGATTTAGCGAGCGCCACAATTTTTATGCCGCTACCCAACAGCCCGCCGAGTCACTGTCGCAGTGGGCCGCTAGATTGCGCGGCCTAAGCGCTCACTGCCAATTCTCCAATTTGGAGGAAGCTCTAAGCTACCGATTCATTATGGGGATGCTGCCGGGAGTGGAAAAAGAAAAATTATCTGCAACACGCAGGATATTTCGGGTATCACACTAGCAAAAGCTGTGGAGTTGGGGGGTAGCGCCAGCGCCGCCGCTGCCACTACCGTCGTCACCGATACCACCACGGACCAGATATACAAGATTGGTCAGGAATCGAAGTGCATGCGTTCTCGTCAAAAGTGCGCGGTATGCGGTTATACCACAGTGCGTCGGAGTGTCGTTTCGCTAATTACAAATGTAAAAAGTGTAATACGAAGGGACACTTGCGTAGGATGTGCAAAAAAGTGAACTACGTAAATACGAGTGAGGGGGACGAAGACAGCGATGATGGTAAGCTATTTAATATACGATCAGTTAAAGGCAAGCCTTTAGTGGAAACCGATACTGTCAACAGCATAGATTTACAATTTCAAATCGATAGCAGATCGGCGATGACTGTGATATCGGAAAAAACATATAAATTGCATTTCCATGATGTTCCACTATCGTTCACTAAAAAGAAATTAGTGAGTTACCCCGGTAAAGTTTTAGGTTGCACCGGCCGCGCCCAGATGACGCTTCAGTGGCGGGGTCGAACGGGTATGCTAGACGTTTATGTAGTTCGTAATGGCGGCCCGCCACTGCTCGGTAGGGATTTTATTGCACGGTTTGAACTTCAACTGGCGCCAGTACATTATTGTAAGCAAATACAGAATGACATTGAAACGCTCCATATACGTTATCCTAAAGTATTTTCGGGAGAGCTTGGGCGCTTCAATAAATATAAAGTTGAGTTAACATTGAAAGAGAACGCTAAGCCAGTGTTTTTAAGGCGCGTCCTATTGCTTTCGCGTTAAGAGACAAAGTAGATAGCGAACTAAAAAGGTTGGTCGATCTAGGGGTACTTCGTCCTGTTAATTACTCGGAATAAGCATCCCCAATCGTACCCGTATTAAAACGCGATGGCTCTGTCAGAATATGTGCAGATTATTCTGTTAGCCTAAACAAACAGTAGGTTATAGACCAATACCCATTGCCGACGGTTAATGAACTTTTTTCTAAGTTACATGGGGGCCAATACTTTACTAAGCTTGACCTCTCAATGGCGTATAATCAATTTTGCCTGAATAACGAATCACAAAAGCTAACCTGTATCAATACTCATCGGGGTTTATTTTCTTATACACGTTTAGTCTTCGGCCTGGCTTGTGCCCCGGCTATTTTCTAGCGTGCAATGGAATATGTGCTAGCAGGGTTAAATGGAGTACATTTTTTACTTGACGATGTACTAATAACCGGCCGAAACGATGCCGAGCACCTAGACAGGCTACACCAGGTGCTACAAAGATTACAAGACGCGGGCTTAACTTTGCAAAAAAATAAGTGCAGTTTTTTCAAAGACGAAATAAGTTACCTGGGATACGTTATAAGTAAAGATGGTTTAAAGAAGTCACCAGAAAAGGTTAAAGCTATAGTAGAAGCGCCAATCCCCACAAATGTTAACCAGTTACAATCGTTTTTAGGCCTCGTCAATTATTACAGGTGCTTCGTTCCAAACGCGTCATCTATTCTATCCCCCCTCTACGAATTATTAAAAAAAGGGACAAAATGGAAATGGTCTAAAATAGAAAACGAAGCGTTCGATAATATTAGAAATTTTTTATCCTCGGAACAGGTTTTAAAATATTTTAATCCAAATGAAAAAATTATAATAACCGTGGATGCGTCACCTAACGGGTTAGGTGCAATATTATCGCAAAAGGATAGTGCAGGTATTGAGAAGCCAATCTCGTTTGTATCACGGACGTTAAATAATGCCGAGAAAAAATATTTTCAAATACAAAAAGAAGCAACTGATATAGTATTTGGGGTATGGAGGTTCCACCAATATTTATACGGTAGGTCTACACCTTTTATTCTACGTACGGATCACAAACCGTTATTATCAATTTTTGGGCCATATAAAGGAATTCCGGAGGTATCTGCTAACCGTTTACAAAGATATGCTTTATTTCTGAGCGGATATAATTACACTATAGAATATGTTAAGAGTTCGGATAATAGCGCAGACGCGTACATACACAACATTGTATTTGCATCAAGGCGTAATTATACAAAAACTTGGTAATATTATATACTTAATCCGAGACTCATTGTTAAATACTGTTGTAAAAAAAACATGTAAATCAAATAATTTTAAACAAAGGCACCATTAATAGTAAAAGTAGAGCCTGGGAGCTTGATATTCTCAGCCCTGACACCTCAGGTAGTTCGGTTTAGACAACTGCGCCATCGTTACCTATATTAGCGCCAGACTCGCAACCTCACAAGCAAGTTCGCGATCTGAGGGAGGGGGATGAACACGAGGACAGAATATTAACACCTGCACCTGCAACTGAGACCCTTACGGAGAACTTGACGCTTTGCAATGACTCTTCCCACCAGTCACCATCACCCTCACATATTACAGTAACGAGAGGAGTTCGGCGTCCACAATCGTCTGATGATGAAGACGAGGAGATGGTACCACCCGCACAAGAATATCAAGCGCCATTAAAACGAAATCGCCCTAAAGTTAATTACAAACAGTTTTTTTAGTATGTAAGTTTTATACAATGTAAAACATATAACACCCTCACTACAGGGGGAGGAATGTTGTGTATGTACGCGTCTGCGTCCGCGCCCATTAATATTGCTTGCAATTAAAGCAGTACGTTGACAGTCGTCAAGCATTTCACTAGTCTCCTGCGCTCCGTATCGCGAACTAAACACAGTGCAACCCTTGTATTTATGTGTTTTTCTTTTGGTAATAAAAAATGATCTTATTCAATGAACGTTTTTCAGTTATAAGTATGTACATAATGTTATTGACTATTATAATATCCAAAATCATTTTATTTCCATTTTTGTGACAACCCCTAGCATACACTCTTCCGCGTTGATACGTAGGCGGGCGACGGCAATTTTCATTGTTAGCCTAGGGCTATCGGAACTCTTAATCAGGCAATGACTATATGTAATCATTCAACTAAACAAAAGGACCAAAATATACGGCAGCCTTTTCTACAAAACAGTCAGAAAACGGAAAGATTTTACTAAAAATCATCAGTCAAGTCAAAACATCAAAAAATGGATCTATATAATATAGAAAGAAAGAAACATGGTAGTTCAACGAAACACCTCTTTCGCATGAAGATCTAAGAAAAATATTTGACGAAGATATTTCACATAACAATAGAATGGAGCTTAGAAAGATCTGGGTATAATTTTTCAGGACTGCCAATAATGCCACTATTGGCAGTCCTAAAAACTGTGATTACAATTAATGTATGTGATGTATGTAAAACATTAGTATATGAGCTAAAGTGCCAATGAACATTAGGTAAAAATAAATAAATAATACAATTGTACTATTACGAAAAAATAAGTTAACTAGATTTTTAAAATAATATAACATTTCTTTTTAAACATGTGTAAATTTATCTATAGCTACGTAATTTAGAATTTAACAAAACAATAAAAAAATTACCAATGTTTTTTATTTACGAGTATTAATCACTTACAAGTATAGCCATTTCATCATTATTATGTTTACCCTAATTGAAATATTGCAATACTTTAAATGATAATGAATTATTCTCAAATATTTTTGTTTTCAGTTTTGAATTTGTTTTACTATTTTACTCTATTTTGCCTAACTTCTTTGTGCAAAACGTTAATTATTATAAATTCTATAACTCATGCGAACGAAGCCACTGATTTAGGCCGTCTTATATTAATGTCAAAATTAATGTCTCTTATTTCTGCTTTTCAGAATACAGTTTCGTGGATGCCTTATGTGTGTATGATTGCAGTGTTATTGTACGTTCTAGTCTACGGGTTTGGTCTCGGGCCCATACCGTATTTTATAGGTTCAGGTATGTAAAATTAGTGACATTTATTATTTTAAATAAATTTTATTATTATATATTTGCCATCCGCCCTGGATTTGTCTGGGTAGTTTTATTAATGTGGCGTTGTTTATGATAATCATCCAGAAACTATCCAAATTTTTGAATAAAGTGTCGCCTACATCACTCTCGGTGTTGCTTTTTATCTGTTCTTGAAGTTTCATTACAATTGTTTCAGCCTTTCCAAAAATAAGCTCGAACAAAAAGGCAGATTGACAAAATCTTTAAAAATAGTAATTCATGTCTTAACTACATATAAATATCCCCCTAAGTTCAAGAAAGGGCAATTATTTCGATAATACACAAAGACATAAACAAAAAATAATTTCACATTCTGAAGTCGAGGCTTCAGTGCTTCTATGTCTGGAATAAAAACAAATTCTGGCATGCTGCATTCAGCGTACACACAATTAAATATTGTTTTAATATGGCGGGATATCCGACACAATATGGCGGCGGCACGCCTGAACAATACGGCGTCAAGTAATGAACTATTTATTCCTGTTTAGTACCTTAAAGTCGATTTTTACTTTGTATTTAAAGTAATTTTTGATGAATCATTTTCATTGAATAATGGTAATCGTTATATAGTAAATTTAAGGTTGACTGTTTTTAATATTGATTTTATTATCTATGTTAAGGGGATCCAATAAACTTGAGTTGCTCGTATGTGCACTGTTTATAATTCAGGTATATATTACTTGATGAAGAAAAGTATTATCTCACCTTAACTTAATATTGTCTTAAGAAGTGTGAGATTAAAGATGGATCATTCCTGTTTTCAGAGATGTTTGAAGTGGGTCCCCGGCCGGCCGGCATGGCGTGGGGCTCGCTGGCCAACTGGGGCGGCAACTTCCTGGTGGGCATGTGCTTCCCCACCATGCGCCGCGCCATCGGCTCCTACTCTTTCTTCATCTTCTCTGCCATCACTGCCGCACTCTTCTTTTTCATGAGGTACACAAGCTATGACGATATTTCTAAGTACTTTCAGCGTTTCCCTGAGCTTTTTCTTTAAATACGCTACAATTATTACAAACTCGAGCAACCATTACACCCTATCAAACGTTTACTGCTGAACATATAGGCCTTTTTTATAGGATAAAGGTGACAAACGAGCACACAGTCTAACTGATGTTAACTGGTTGCTGTGGCCCGCAGACACCTACGTAATCGATTACGTATCAAAATGCAGATGCGTTGTCACCCGTGAGGGCTAAGATTGAATGCCTCGTTTCCAGTAAAAAGGGTCTTTGGATCTCTACACTCATCATACGAAACACAGCAGTATTAAGCTGTTATTTTACGCTGGTATTCTGTGAGAGTGTGGTCCTTCGCCGGTCGAGCCGACCGATTCGTGCTACAACTATACCTACCAGTAGTATAGTCGCAGCATGGCTATATCACATAAAAAATCTTCTGTATAGATTGTCTCTAACGGGCGATATTTGCCATAGTTGGCACGCTAGCTCGCAGCTTGTTTTTAGTTGTTATGAGAAAGATAGCGCTGCCCATCTGTTTCATTTCCCTGTATCACTTGTTAGCAACGGAGGTTTTTAGTCGTTATCAGGAAGACGCTGCCGCTCATCTCCTGGTTAGTTTCCATCTGTCGCCTCTTACGACGCCCACGTGATGAAATGATTTAGTGGATATTCTTACATCGCCACTACACAAATTATTCCAATATTCAGTATTTGACACATAATGTACGTTTAAAGAAAAGAATATCGATAAACGGTCACAAATGAGTTATTTCAAGGTACCTCATAAATATTACGCGTTAATTACAAACGATTATAACGTTTCTTGAGGGAATTAGACTAAAAGTTCCGCCAGGTAGGTGGAGCCTTTTATTCTAAAAAGGGGAAATGAACAACAGCGTCTTTTAAATAAGTAGACTGCGGTTAGCAACCCTCTGTCTGCCATGTCAAGCGTGGCAACTGGCAAGTGGTCTCCCTTATGAGGCAATCTATATAAGATCTATGTTCTGCAGTGGAATTTAATAAGCTGTTATGAAAAAATGATAAATGAGTGACTTGATTGATGTAGCGATCAAATTCGTATTAAATATTATAGTCCCCGTAGTATGTACGCGCTTGTATGGAAAAACTCATTCGCCGTCGTCCAAATATATCCGTGTCCGATGTGACGCTCGCTTGTGTGATAAATTTTACCCGACGTACGTGGATCACGTGGTACAGCCACGTGGTAGCACGAATAAGTGGGCTCGATCCAGGAAGGGTATAAATACAAGGATTTTAAAAACAATCATGCGCCTTCCTTTCTGCCAAGGAGGGTCGCGTTCGTATACGGCTTAGAGATCTCTAGTCAGATCGTTAAGCCAATTCCTAAAAGGTTGAGTTTAGTGGGTAAGAGTCACCACATAGCCACGCAGCCGGCTGCGTGGTATGCTATGAGCATTCTCAACGTCCCTCCCCCCGCTTTCCGGAGGGTTGCCCATATTTGCTTCGGTCGCAAAAAAAGAAAAAAAAACAATCATAATACAACTACAGCTGAAAAGCAACAATTGACTTGTAATATTCTGACTATGAAATTCAAGGTCTGCTCGCGAATCGAGTACCGAATCAATCCGATTTTATTCGATCTTAAGGTAGATCCTAGTGCACAATCGACTAGTGGTTCAAATTATATTTTTTCAGAACAGAAATGTAACTGCTGCTAAATAACACTCGTAGTCGCAAGCGACTTGAATGTTTATATTATTTATATTTATGTTAAAAAGACATTTAAGTAACTTTTGAATTAAATAAATGATCTCCGGATAAAAAATATCCAGATTAGCCTAACTTGGCTGATAACGCTTCATCGTAACTGGATCGTGTATCTGAATTAGTCTGCTCAATCCAACTTATATTGAGATGTTGATTATATTTTACGACACACTCATCCTACCCTCGGAGAATCCATACCAAAAATTGGGTGCTGCGGCGCCGTCACCTGACATAATGTTAAACATTCGAGTACCAATATGCTCTTAAATGTGTAGGAGTTGAGTCTTGTGTATAACATTGTTTTTCTTGATATTACTATTGACACGAAATTTCAATGGGGCCCCCATATATCTAATTTCTTTTTAATAGATAAAGTTGACAAACGAGTGCAAAGTCCACCTATTCAAAATGCAGATGCGTTGTCACCCCTGAGGATTAAGATGGAATGCCTCGATTCCAGTAAAACGGGTCTCCGGTTCTCTACCCTCACCATACGAAACACAGCAGCATTTAGCTGCTATATTACGCTGGTATTCTGTATGAGTGTGGTCCTTCCCCGGTCGAGCCGACCCATTCGCGCTACGATTATATCTACCAGTAAGATAGCTGCAGAATGGCTATAATAACGTAAAAAATCTTCTGTATAGATTATCTCTTAGGGTCGATATGCCATAGTTGCCACACTATAAAAATTAGCAAGCAGACTTAGTTCTGCAGCATATCTGTAAGAAATATTAAAAGTCTCACTAATGTTGAGACAGCCAGATTAGTTTATTTTGGTTACTTTCATAGCGTAATGTATTAAATCTTGCTGTAAGTTGTAATGCTACTGATATTGAAGTCATATTTGTTTTGCAAAAGAGAGCCGTACGGGCGATTTAGAACTTAAATTGTAAGAGTAATTGTAAAAGTCCCTTAGAGAAAATTTTAAAGAAATAAACATTAGCTTTGGCACCGCTATGTATTTATGAAAATGTTATATAAATACATGAAAACGTGAATAGCTTTCATAAGAATAAAGATGTTTATACTTTAAACACTAGGAACAAACATAAGCTTGTTATACCAGTTACTAGACTTCACAGAATTAGTAATTCATTTATGGGGCAATATACTTTCAAATAAAACTAATTTGAAAAAAAAATACACCGTTTACTTAAAGAGAAAATAATTTAAAACCGAAGGATTGGCAATTTTACCAAAAAAATAAAAAATAAAATGCTTTTATTTTTTAAATAGTTTACATAAAAAAAAATTCGATTTTTTCCGATAATTTTTTATCTAGTATCCGCACATTTCGTTTGATCAAGTGTAAAATTAACACATTGTATATGCTTTTACAACAAAATCGCAGAAAATGTATATAATTTGTTATTAAACATGTTTAAATGTTTTATTAAAGAAAAATGTACAAAAAGAGTTATTATAATATCAAAGAATACATAAATGATAATAACCCCTGGAAATGAGATGATTGCCACTATGCTGGTTCTATAAAAATCATTTAAAAATTTTTGTAAAGCGAAATATGTTTAAGAAAAAAGTCCCGCTGGGTTTCGTGCCAGTTCTTTCTAGGACGGAGGTGTTTTCCTTACTAGTGGTAAATAGAAAATGATTTTTAATAAGTTTTATGCAATAATCTATATTGAATAAAATCATTTATTTCATTTCGTAATAAATGCTATAGGGAACATAAGAGCTTAGACAGTCAGATTTATATTATTCTTTAAAAAAAATAAAGCTAATCTAGAAGGGACCATGATTTATTTTGTAAACTAATCTGATCTGCTTTCGAGTCCACGGGTTAATCATAAGATTTAATTTGTTTTTTTCATAAAACTAAGTTGAAACTTACTGTCCTAACCTGACCCGAACCCTGATGGTAAGTGGCTATTGCAGTCCAAAGAAATCTGCAGTTAACTTCAAACAAAGAAGCCTACAAATGCGTAGTCACCTTTGAGGACTAATATGGAATGCCTCACAGACTATAAATATACTGCTCTCTTATTATATATTATATTCTCTCTATTATATACTCTTCGTGCCGGAACAAAGTAGTGCACGAACTGCTATTTTGGCGGAAAAAATAAATAAAAAATGATACCTAACCAGACGGATTCCTAGATAGAAAAGAAGTCCTACCATATTACACAATATTTACGTCACCCAAGTCTAACTGAATAGATATATCACTTTCCTGTAAAGGGTAATTACTTTAGCTCGTGATTAAGCAACCAAGTATTGGTGCTACAAAATATTTTTTCTTGATTCCAGAGCGTATCTCCCGGAGACGCGAGGCAGTACACCAGCGCAGGTGACGCAAAAGTGCGCGAACGGTCTGAGGTCGAGGCCGCTCAGTCGGCAACACACGCCCGTCTGACCGTTAGCCCCCGCCCTTCACCCAATCTCCTCATTTCTAATATATATTTCTATAATTTTCTATATCATTTATATTAAACAGCCTGTACTATCCAAAATACCCGCATTCCCTATCTACCCAGTCCTCATTCGACCCGAATTCACCCGACACTCGAAGCATTTCACCATCAACACAGCTCTGTTATAGCAGTACTAGTATTTTCAAAGTTATTGTTTACTATTTACTCTGATCAAAGTGCAATTAAGTGTGGTCAAAAACTACTGTTGACGAAAAAAAATCAGTCAACATATTTTTTTTTTAGTTTTTGACCGCATATTTTATTTTTATTATAATTAATTTATGACTCACGGTTTAGGGCTACACTTTTTAAAGATATATAATGAAATAAATTTTGAAAGTTTAATATGAATTCTTTAATTTTATTAAGCAATGTTTTGCTGCTCGCAAGCTACGATAGTAATATCGTAAGTATTGTAAAATTTCTTATTTTCAAATGCCAGTGAAAATATTATAGCGAGTCTCGATACATACGAATCTAAGTTCTTCATCTGAGTATACACTAAACTCCAGCCAGTTTATAGTTATTATCTAGTCCTAAAACTACGTATATAAGGTGTACCAAAAGAAAGTTACTTTTCTGTAATTTTAATAAAAAAGACCATAAATTATTGTAGTACAGATTTTAGAAAATAATTTTAATTGATTTTAAAACTAATGACATTTAAATATAGTTCTTCGAGCACACGCAGGCGACCTTAATCCTTACACAGTGCGCGTGTTTTCTTTTTGCAAAATGTGGTGTAATAATGGATATAACACTTGCTAAACAACGCTCAAGATTATCGTGGATTGACTGAAAATAGATTAACATTCTTCAAGATAAATTTTCTCACGATGATTGCAGAATTAACATCTAACTAAATGCCGACATTGTTTTTGTAAGCTCGCATATATAAATGCCTCTCGATCGACAAAGTTTTGAAAGACATTCACACAGTGAAATCTATCAAATAAATACTTTTTTGGAACACCTGTGTACATTTGTTGAGAGTGAAATAGTAAAATACGAGATAGTGTGTGTATGACAGAAATAGAGAGAGGTTTTTCGATATTTTTCAATGTGAAATTCACAGGTGTTTTCGTAAGATTTGCTTTTTATGATGTTTCTAACTCGTAGTTTTACTTTTAGATTAATTGTATTTATTTTTACGCATATTACTTGAGTTTTAGGTGTTTGTTTTAATATTTTACTGCTGTTTTTCAGTTGGAATTTTGGACCATTAATTTATTTCTTACATAATACTGCCTTTACCATTCAGTTAGATATTCTACTAAAGGCTGGTTACTTAGACTTAAGGCATAAAAACGCACAATCATTGTTCCCACATCTATTATCTATTACTTATAATATAATAGAAAATGTGTACAGTGCCAAGTCTCAGCATGTCTTCCATAATATTTGTAGGTAGGATGTCAAAATAGAAATGATAATGATGAGCACTGAAACGACACTAACACACAATTTGCACTAATTCGGTATCGATAGGGTAAAAGTTACCGTTTAGGTTTCGCAGTTATCGAAACAACTGTTGCGCCTCGCACATAAAATATTGAAGATGCGATCAATGAAGGCTAACAATCTTCCCCGCTCCAGATGTCAATGGTTGACACTGAGGTGAAGTTTTTTGTTACACAATGTCAATTAAATTAGTTTTAAATAAAAGTTTATCAGTTTCTAGAATATTATATTAATACACAGAACAATATACCAGTGGTTTGCTCTTTAATCTTTTGCACATTTTTGACTCTTGTTAATTTATCTTCCTTTATCGATTTCTGTAGTTACGTTTATTTATTTTTAATATAATTAATATAAATATAACTAATAGTATAGAAATACACATTAACGTTTGCATTTTTCGAACAAATTATCTCCCTCATTTTTAAGTGCCGAGCCCAGGTGGCAGAAAATCGTAGATTTTTTTGCTTAACGGCTAAGTTTTATTTAAAATGTGTGTGCGGTTGGATTTCTTTATTTATTGTAATATATTTTGGAAAGAGTTAAAATGTTTCTATTCGTATAAGAAATCCCCGAAGAGTAATTATTCGAATTATTATAATAATAATCCTTTATTTTTAAACATAATATACCGAATGACCTTTTTATTGTGAGACAAAATATGGTATAATAGAGGGACGAAGTGGAAGCCTTAGATATTTTTTTGAATTTATTCTTTTTTCAATGACATTTTATGAATTTCATCAAAACTTACTATTGGTCCTATCCAGCGGCCGGTTCGAGGTCAAGGACATCAAAGACAAATTTACTGATGCTTGCCACATGTAAAATGGGGTGAATTACGGTACTTTAAATAATTTTATTTATTTATTTTAGAAGATATGGAGCTATGGAGAGGGCTATGCTCGGGGTTTCTCTGCGTGATAAACTTATAAATTGAGGATATCCTCAGTAGAACCAGAGTGACCGACATAGCCCAACTGCGATGTGTAATAAAGGTTCTCGAGTGGCAGCCTCGTACCGGTAGGCGAAGTGTAGGGCGACCGCCCACTAGATGGAGTGACGACCTGGTAAGACATGCAGGAAGTCGATGGATGCAGTTGGCTCAGGACCGTGCTTTGTGACATTTCTTGGGGGAGGCCTATGTTCAGCAGTGGAATTGTGTAGTGGATGTTTTGCTATATGCTATATGTTCCTCAGTTATGAACCGATTTTGATGACGGGAGAGGCAAAATAGGGGATTAAGTTTTAATTAGAATCATTTAAGATACATTGACATTGTGATATTCCTTAGTGGTCTAATCACAAGAGCAAAAGTTAACTTATAATAAAGAGTAAAAGCTGGCTTTAAAGAATAAATAAATCTCACATTATGAAGCCGGGCCGTTAATTCTTCTATATCATAAGTCTTCTTTGAAGTCAGCGTTTATTAAGTTCATTTTTCAAATAAATAAAAATTATTTTTAAAAATATTTCAAAAATATCTATATGCTTCACATTGTTCATATATTACACCACCATTTCGCGGTAAAAGTCAGCCTTACTATTTGTTTATTAAAGTTATAACATATTTTGTCACTTTTTACTAGATGTGTTAATTATTACGCATGCAAGCTGCTGTGCCTTCTTACTCTACATGTAACATTATTTCTCTTTCCCTAAGATTTGTTAGAAGAGTATTATTCCTTTTAAGCTTAAGCTCGCATTTGTACATTTTATAAACATGTTTTAAATTGTTATTATCATTGTGTAGAATAAAGAATGAAAAAAAAATTGAATTTACAAAAAGTCAAATTAGCTCTTTATTTGTTAAATTTGAATAAAAACCATGTTTTATAGCATAATATTGTTTTATTAACCATGTGAATGCTCCATAGTACGCATTAAAATGTAAAAATTTTATACTTACTAGTATTGTGTACGAAAAAAATTAAAACTGTTTTTATTACTTTTTTATTTTGCTTTGTTAGTGTCTAGTGGTCGTAAGCGCGGCTCGACTCGAGGTCGGGCTAAAATCACTTATATATAGGTTTTCAGTCGAGAAATTCTTAATAGCAGCCTCTATCTATTTTGAGTTTGATTGTGAGATTTTGTTTGTGTAAAATTTTTCTGTAAGAAATTTCCTTACGTATTTATTTTGTACGTTTAGTACGTTATTATTTAGAACGTGTAATCACACATTATGCAACCTTTTATTGGTCAACACGAATCACGGAACATAAAAAAGGAATAATCAACGATCATTATTTTATTTATTTATTTAATATTCTTTATTGCGCACCATACAAAAATATTTTTTCACTGAAAGCACTGATAATAAAAGTCTTTACACAACGTTACAAAAACTTTAGCCTATTAAATAGTTGAGAGGTTGGCTTGGAACTTGGATTAAACTAATGGCGGCCGCCGCCGGCACAAATGAAATTGTTAATTGCAATTTTAAGTGCTGATTTACCACGTGCTCGGCGGTGAAGGAATATATCGTGAGGAAACCTGCATGTCTGAGGAATAATAAAAAAAAAATATTTCGAAGACGTGAAGTTCGCATTGGGGCAGCGCGGCGGACACTTCCTTGCCCTAAAACCCTCTCAGAAATGAGGGGAGGCCTGTGCCCAGCAGTGTGACGTATATAGGCTGTAACTTTACTTTTTTACTTTACTGATAACAAAAGTCTTAAACAACGTTACAAAAACGTCATCCTATTAAATAGTTGAGAGTTAGGCTTGGATTAAAATATGGATATATATCGTCGATATTTTTACATCGCGATATATCAATATTCAGTTATTCGGTAGGTATTTATTTTGGAGTATCGAATTCGAATCAATTTCGATATATTTTAAAATGTATTAATCAACAAAACATTAAGCAACATGTACCGTTGTTTTTTTCGTCGTCCAACCGTACGGTAATACCATTATGGGCCTTGTCTTTTCTTAATGGATTAAAGAAATAAAAAATAAGTTATGTTTGTAATCTGTCATTATTGGTTAGTGCTTATTGTGTACAAATATAAACAGAAAGCAAATCTAAGAAATCGATCCTTTAAACCTCGTTTTTTTTGTGATAAGTACTAGGAGTGGGCGATACAAATCGTATATAGATACAATATCTATATATCAGTACAATATTCAACATCTATATATTTGGATATTCAACATCTATATATTTGGGCGACAAACCAACTATAATTTAGATATTACGATATCGCTGCCGCGGCAATACAGCCAGCGGTGTCTGATTCACAGAATATCTAATATCTACTCGAAACGAAAACGTAAAATATCTTAATATATACATTGGTTCAAATACCGAACAAACCGTGAGCGCGATAGAATATATCGTCGCTTTGGTGGTGAAGAGAGCCAAGCCACAACTTTGTACAAAATGAAATAAGTATACTATTCGAATCAAAACAATGTGATTTTTACAGTGGTGAATAGAGCGAACTGACTGTTGTTAAGGTAAAAAAAATAATCAAAAAGGTGAAAAGATGTTAACAGAAATACCATACATTTCTTTATGGTATAAAGAGGAATACAATCCGCATAGCTTAGTTAACTTCTGGAAATAGGACAGTGGTTGTAATCAGTAGTGAAGAAAGTCAAGCCGCTTATATCACTAGTTTTTAAACAAAGTCAACGTATCCCTGCATTTAAAAGCGCTATTTTGTATGGCTTGACATCTGTCGTGATCTTATTGAGATTCATATTTATTTATTTGGTTATTTTGCATAATGTGTGTGTTTTACTGTTGTTATAAAAAATATGTAGTACAACACGTTAACCATTTCTGGTGTACAAAATGATGGAAATTTAAAAACATTCATATTCATATTATTTATTGCATCCATAATTCTGCAGTTAATGTGTTGAAAACATTTTAAGTTTTTACTTAAAACTACGAGATCATTATGGGCCCTGCAGGGCACGGCAGAGGAGGGCCGTTTTAATGAAACAATAATGATGAATACTATATAATATAGCAACTGTAGGTATTCTAGGTAGGCATTTAAAATTTGCTGTTGTGTGTTTGTGTGTTTACAATGTGTTTACAAATTAAAAATTCCTTTACTAGTTTATTTATAAAATTAGTGAGTTTTTCCATTTTTTTATCGAGTTTGGGAGTTTGTTAACAATTGTGATGGACATGACAAAGGGATCTGATGAATGTAGTTTAAGACAAGATATGAGTATAGTCAGTTTTTCGTTATGGCGTAATTGGTATCTGATATTACTTTCTCCTTGTTTGATTTAAAATTCTGGGTACTTTTTAATGAATTTGCAGATTTCCAAGATATAAATGCACGGTACGGTAAGTATTTTATGTTTGACGAAGTATGGTTTGCAGCTATCAGTATTTTGTATATTAAATATTATTCGTATTAGTTTTTTTTTGTAGGGTTAAAAGATCAGAAACGTCTGTGCTGTTTCCCCATATGATAACCCCGTAGCAGAGCCACGAAATAAAAAAAACTGAGACTTGAAAGTAAAGAACATGTTTCTCAGTCAGGTAAAAAGGTGAGAGAAAAAGCTGTTAAGGAATTTCCCTGTAGGTGTCATTACAAATGCAATGATACATTTACTTTGAATGATAGACAGAACATTTTTTAGGGTTTTTGACTTTCAAGCCTTTTCTAGCCCTTTTCAAGCCCATTTGACCCTATCAAGATGATAGAGCCAAATGGGCTTTTATAAACCGCTCAGTCAGTAAAGAGCTACCAAAAAGAAGTTACAAGTCGAAAGGCTCTAGTTCTCTAGTTCAGTGGTAGCTGATGTTCCTGATAAGAGAAATTATACTCATGTTTATACTTTGATATTTTTGATTGAACCCTGCATCAAATAAAATTTCTGAAGAACAAAAGAATATTATTCGTGATCACATCAAGTCCTAACCTGTAGTAGACTCTCACTACTGCCGAAGTTCATCTAAGTGGAAATATCTGCCATCTGGCCTGACTGAAAATCGCTTGTATTAAGACTATATCAAATATTGTGAAGAGAACGGACCATTACCTGTATCATCTTATTATTATAAACATATTTTTACTACTGAGTTCAATTATGGATTCCATAGGCCAAAAAAGACCATTGTGATTATTGCGCTCAATTTAAAAACAAATCGCCAGAAGAGAAACTCCAAGAACGAAGTAATTACGACTTACATTTAATAAGAAAAACAGAAACTAGAGAACAGAAAAGAGAAGACAAGGCGAGAGGTAAGACTGCTCTAACGTTTTGTGCTTACACTATGGATTTAAAAAAAATCTTCCTTACCTTACAGTTAGAGATTAGTCAATTGTATTATAAAAGAAATTAAAAACATAATTTTACCAGTTATGACCTTGCTTAAGGCACCGCAATTAACTACATGTAGCATGAAACCAGTGGTACAAAAGGAGCATCTGAGAGCCACTGAGCATCTGAGCCACATGTATTTGGAAACTCCTTTCTGAACTACCACCAGAGGTGACAGAAGTAATATTTTACTCTGATACTGCTTTAGGACAAAACAAAAACCATATCATTTCTGCTACGTACATTAGAGCACTCTCTTCATTTCCAAATCTGAAGATTATCAACCAAATGTACATGGAGTCTGGATATTCCGAAATGAAATGTGAGTGTTCACTCTGCCATTGAATAATGGGGTACAAAGTTTGATATTTTTGTCTTAGATGGATGGTAGACTTTAGCAAGAACAGCGAAGACCACTCGACCATCATATATCGTAAAGGAGATGAATTTTAGCCAATTTCTTGATTTTAAGTCGTAAAGCCAGTAGTAGTTGACAGTAGCCTAATGGCAGGGCGCGGACCGCGAACTCAAAAAGGTCGTGGGTTCGAATCCGCCATTCGACTACTGGCGTGATCCACTCGTAACACAAGCAATTTAAGCTTAATACGAGTGGTTAAGGGGAATATTAGTAATTGTATTAAATGCATTGTTAATATTCTTTTAAAAAAAATTACAAATAAAAATAAAGGAGAGTGTGGCATCATGAAATGGCTTCTTGTTAAATGGCTGCAATATAGACGTGAAGTTAAGCCAAATTGAATTTGAACGACTATGTATTCGCCTCAGATCAACTCGAAATGATGAAGAAATACTTGCCACTGAAGTAGCTAATCTTTATAAGTGTAGCTTAAAAATAGATACCAAAAAACTTAAAGACTTACAAGGTCTTTGTAAAAAAGGTACAATTCCTACCTCTTATCATGAATTTTACATGAATCTTATTGCTTCAAGTCAGGATGTTGATATTATAGAAGGTTATTGATTTTTTTAATGAAGATTTTTAACAAATAATTACTAATTTTATTATTTATACTATAGCAATATTTAAAATAACCCTATTATTCTTTTTTTTTGTCTACCAACTGCCAACCAACCCTGCTGCTAACAAGTATTTGAATAAATTAGTAGATCTATAACACTTACATCTTTTCACCTCCCTGTTTATTAGTAGATCATTTTCAAAATATCAAAATGGTGAAAAGAGCCAAGTACAAAATAGCGATTAACAGAAAAACTAGTTAAATTACAAAAACTATAAATATACCAAAAACACAAGAAGCATGTTTAGCTAAACCAATGCCATTTTTATTAAAATCTAACTTACGGTTTAGAAGGTATAGACTAAAAAATATTTTTTGTTTAACCTCGCCACTTAATTGCTCATTATTTCGGAACTTGATATGTGTGGGTTAACTCTCTTCACTACCAAAGCGACGATATAGTTGAAACTTGAAAGCGATATTACGACTACTTCACACAACTAAAAGGTGTGATACGCTTACGCCCTTAGAGCATACATTGCTCTAAGCTTACGCCTAATATTATTAATATTAATCCTTATTAGTAGTTCCATACGATTTATTACAGAACACATCATTTTTAATATCCAGTCTAAGTAGTATTTTATGAATATTTAGTTGTGTTGCACTGTTTTCAAAATAAACGACTTTAGATCTTATTGTGTTTATAAATAGAGTGTAATTTTTGATCCAATTAATTTTAAATATTTGTAACATGACCTGAAAATTTAAGAACCGACATTGAAGACATTGAAGTGCCTATTTGCTCTTATGATTTGGGTTTTAACAAAAAAAAAAAGGTCTTGTGTTCTATTTTTAAATTTTATTTTCAGTTTTGTTCACATTCCTTGTGAATTGCGTCGCGTAATTTGAATGCAGATGACATATTTTATGTAATTTCTCTGCTCGCTTTCATTTTTAATTCGGTTTCGAAATTTTAATTTTAATTTGATAATTTTTTGGTTTTATGATAGTTTTTTTAAGTTTGAACTGTTTTTGTGTATTAAAAATAGTGTAACATAAAATATTATATATATATATATATATATATATATATATATATATATATATATATATATATATATATATATATATATATATATATATATATAGATGCGTAGATATTAGGTAGATACTGTACATTTTTTAAACAAATTAATTTTAGTTTAGTGTTTGACATTGTGTAGAACTAATTAAACCTATTAAGTATAACAATGTCTCGTCCGCTTACAAGCATAATATGGGACTATTTTGAGAAGTATGACATAGTCGATAAAAAGGCCAAATGTCGGATTTGTTACGACATTTATAGTTACAAGGGCTCAACAGGCAACCTTATGGTGCATTTAAAAAAAACACTCAGATGTTTTTACGAAAGTAAGTACAGCCCAAAAAGAAGCGAAAACATGTCAGCAACAAAGACAATTATGTTCGTCTTCGGTGTTGACAAATATGAATTTAAACAATTTTCTCGATGCTACGTCATCTGCCGCTGGTACGTCATCTGCTGCTGGTACGTCATCTGCCGCTGGTACGTCATCTGCTGCTGGTACGTCAACTGCCGCAAGTCATATCCCGAAGACTACGATGCAGCAAACAATAGAAAGATATGGCACGGCAAAAAAATATCCAATGAGACTAAAAAGAAAATTGATCGAGATCTATTAGATCTATTTATTGATAGTTACCAGCCATTTTCATTGGTGGAGGAAAGGGTGTTTAAAACATTTGCTCGGTGGATTCCCGGATACCAACTGCCAAGTAGAAAAACAATTTCCACCGTCATGTTGTCTGCATTGTACAATAAAACCAAATCGGAAATGAAAATGGTATTAGGCCCAGAGTGCTAATATTCGATATGTCTTACGACAGACTTATGCACCTCAAGATCGAACGAGTTCTATATATCTGTCACCGCTCATTATATAACAGATGATTTTGAGCTGAAACCTAATTTACTTGATTTTTGCAATTTACATGACTCTCATACCAGTGAAAATATACAGGAAGTATTAAAAAATATTGGGCCTAACTGATAAAATAATATTTGCCGTAGCAGACAACGCTGCTAATGTACAGAAGACCATTCATAACATCGGCTGGAAGCAATTTGGATGTTATGGCCACACTTTGAATTGAATAGTTCAGGATTCCCTCACAACTGTTCATCCAATTTTGGAAAAGGTTAAAAAAATCGTTCGCTATTTTTGGCTTTGGAAAAACTTTTAAAGGCACAAACGGACGTTACAGCTGGTTGCATCCCGAAGCGCCTTATACAAGAAGTCCCCACGCATTGGAACTCAACGGTTCATGTGGTTGAGCGCTTCGTTGAAATGGAGCAGTACATTAGATCCACAATGGCCATTCTTAAAAAAAGATCTGCCTACACTCACAAATGATGAACGGAATCTTCTTTTAGACTTAATAAAAATTCTACAACCATTCCATCAAGCCACAGAAACAATTAGCGGTGAAAATTACATGACCGGTAGTCTTGTCATTGTAATGACACGCTGCCTTTTAGCGGCGAGTGATAAACTCTTAACAGAGCCAATTTTAGAAACATCTAAAAATTTCCTCTATCGTCTCAGAACAGGCCTGGTGACAAGATTCGTCCTTGTGGAACGAAGTAAAACGTTCAGGACATGCACGTTCCTCGAGCCTAGATACAAATTATCTGTTTTTAGTGATCAGAATGAGGCCAAAAACACAAAAAATCATATCCAGGATATGTTAGTTGCGATGATTGCTCAAGAGTGTTCACATGAGGAACAATCATCCTCTATAACAGCCATTAGTACAAAAATTGATGGCTTTCGTGCTATCCTGAACGAAATAATAGGACAAAAGCAGCAGACAGTCGGGACTCCTTTGTCAAAGGCCATTAAGGAGATCGACACATATTTAAACGACGACCTACAGCCAATCTTCCATGGCTACAAATGGAGCTGTCCTCTTCAGTGGTGGCGTGGCCACAAATTTACATATCCACATCGTACCAAACTTTTTCAAAATTATGGAAATATAATGGCTTCATGTGTTCCATGTGAAGGTATATTTAGCAAAACGGGCATCTTATTAAATGACCGTAGGACCCGACTTACATCCCAAAAAGTAAGACAACTCACCTTTTTAAATGTAAATTTAGATAAAAATAGGTTTACATGAATAAGTAAAACCATAATGTAAATATTTAATTGTAAATAATGTCAAAAAGTATGTAAATATCATGAAATGAAATTTTATATACGCCTGCATTACATACTTTTATTAAAAGTTATTGTATATTATACAGACACAACTGTCGTAAAAAGCAAATGTTATTACTTATCTACCTAAACAGCAGCCCTATTAATAAACACAGACTTGAGCAAGATTAACTTTACTCCTAGTTTAAAGCTTAAAATATCTAATTTCAGTATTAATAAACATAGAGTAAGGAGGGAGTAAACTAATCCGAATCTACTCTCGGAATAAAATTTAATCTTTGGCGGTACCTAGTTTAACGACTGAGTAAGCATAGACTAGTCGCGTATTTTGACATTTTGTAAAACTTTACGTACGTTTACACGCGTTGGTACCCATGTTAAATTCATAAGTACACTAGTAAGAAAAACAGCATAATGGATTAAAATGACAAGAAGTGATGTGGATCAGAACAAAGTGATTGGAGGTTTTTATTCATTATATGGATTTAGACAAGTGATTGGGGCTATTGATTGCTACATATTCTAATCTTGAAAGTCGCTGGAAATATCGAACAATACTACATAAACAGGAAAGGATACAGTTCAATAAATGTACAAGTAAGTTTTATAGCACCTAGCTAGCCCATCTTTGCTGTATAGGTACTTAGTTATTTTCTTAGATTCAACACAATCACCTCAATCTATTATTTCATATTAAAGAAGTTTTGAGTGCTTTGTTCCAGGTTGTGTCAAATGCAAATTTAGAGTTCATGGATACAGTGGCACATTGGCAAGGCAGCACACATGACTCAAGAATATTTAAAGAAAGTCGCATTAAAACAAACGTTTGAGCAGTCAGAATTTAAAGGCAGACTTCTCGGAGATTCTGGTTGTGCTTGTACTCCTCATTTATTCCTAATAAACAAAAGGAAGAATGTACAACCGGTCGCACATCTGGTGGACCCGTTACACTATAGAACAATGCTTTGGAGGGAACCAAAGGTTTCGGTGTTTACTGCGAGGACTAAATACTAAATAAGAGCATACAAAACTATATACATTGCAATGCAAAAGCAAGATCTGTTTGAGGATGTAGTATAAGGAGATGATGAAAATATATCAGTCACACAATTAGTAAATAACTCCGTTAGAGGAAATTCTGTTCGAGCAGCATTTAATAACGATTATTTAAATAAATATACAATAATTACATGTACAAAAGATTTTATTTATCCCCAAAAAACAAAACAAAAATGGTTATTTAATTAATTTTGCCCTTCACGCTCTTTTCTTAATGCTAAAATTTCGTTACAAATAATATTAAAAATGATTATATTTAGAACTTAGTTTTTCCACCGAGTCCGAAAACAACACGAGGAACAAGGAACAACGCGTAACACTTATCTCTTGTCAAACTCAAAATATTGCCTGTCACTGTCATTAATGTCATCATCAAGCATTGAGTTCATTCACTAATCATTCACGTACTCACTCTTTTTACTTTTAAAATAAGTGGGTTGCCATAACGCAAAGCGTTAATCCCGGCGTAAGGAATGTATAGTTAGTCCGAGGTTACTCCATGCTTATTAATAACATTGTAATAACGAAGTAAATAGTCAGTTACTCTGAGATTAGCTAGTCCAAGTTTAACTTCGAATTAAGCTTGGAATAAGCAATTTTTATTAATAAGGCAGTTAGAGTATAACGCGAAGTTATATATTAACTTAATACTTAATAATACTTCGCGTTACTAATTAACTTTTTATTACTATTATTAAGTGATGCAGTCAGTCCTAAGCCTGATAAAAGTATGAAGGAAAGTTTATTTCACCGATCCTGAAAAATTATAGGGTTATAACCACTATAATAACCTTATCCAGTTTAACAACGAACACAAAATACACCCGACCTTCAAAGACATATATAATATGATAATTTTTAACCACAAGTGTGGCATAAAATATAAAAGTTTAATTTTATAGCAAATAAATGTTAGTCCTTATTTTTAGACATGTATTTAAGTGTAATAAATTAAAAATGTTTTTTAGAGTAAACGAGCAAAATAATACTTTGTAATAGCGCCATCTACTTCATTTTATACGTAAAATGATTTTATCGAACAAAAATTGGTTAACTCTCAAGGTGGTGGTACGCACAAAATATGCTAGATGGCGTAAACACGACACTAAAAATAATATTCCATTTCACTATCACGCCTCCTCTCACCTCTATGTCATTTCTTATATTATGAGATTTTAAAGATACTTATATAGATATTGAAATATATAGATACAATATCAGATATTCGTTTCCAATACATAGGTACGATTTGATATAGGCTAAAAGTGATATTACCCACCCCTAATAAGTACTATTCCAACCAATTTAAAAAGCGTCCTTTTTCGGAAAGGAAAGGATCGTCAGATCGCCAGCCCTAATATTTAAGTGAATTGTTTTTCTAATTCCTATTTATCAGATCTTGTCCGGAGACAAGATTTCCAAAAATAAAAGACTCAATTCCTCCCCATATTAACCTCTAAACAGTGTGACTAATGTTTCCGCCATTTTGCGTATCTGTGATGCCGACCGTCGGCAAGCGCACAGACAGGGATATTATAAGCATATGTTTTTTTTAAAGTTGGATTTCCTCGATTTTTTTAAAGGAATGCTGTACGCTTACAATTAAAATATTGGTTTTAATTACCTATTTTGTATATATCTCTACATATTTAGCATATTGGTAGTTATTTGCCATAGAAACATTACTACTTAATATGGGGTACAGAAAATTTTATTGTATTTCTTGATAATTTGTATAAAATAAAACAATAATTAAACTGAAACTAATTTTAATTAACACATTACATATCTAAGTTTACAATACAAACCAAAATTAACAAGGTCCTATACATTTTTTTCACACAACACATGTTTACAAAGTTGACACAAAAAATACTTCCACTTAAAGTAAACAAAAAAGGGTCTCACATTTCTTGTTATCTAAAATGACCCTGAGCGAATGGGACAAAGACCTTTTGTTTGCAGCAACTTAAGCTTATAAGCTACAAATATAAATAAAAGAATCATGTTACATTCAATATAAATTTGAGTATGAGTGGAACAAAGATGGTATGTAATTTGACACCAAAATTAGTACCTCTAAAAACATGTCTATTTTGGATAATATCTACTTACAAATGGAAAAGAAATTATTGTTTCAAGATATACATTAAATTTAGTAATCAATTAAACAAAAAAAAAACAAGTTGTTTCTAAGAAATATTTCAAACATCAAGCTCATGAAAGTAGTAAATATCTAAACATTTTAGCCTCATACATGCTAGCAAAGTGTGGATACGACTTGTCTTCAACAAGATAATGACTAGGTGATTTTTGTAACCCTCATTATTTTGAAACATTATAGTAAACATAACGGGTCTAATAATGACAATCACTTGGGATACTACTTAATATGACATAATTTTTAAATCATGCTTTGTTCACGAATCACAGCAAGAGGTAAAATGAACCGGCGGCTTGTAGGTTGAAGGTGAAGGTTTAGGCAGCATGTTGATACCCAAGCATGGTTGGTCATAATTTACCATTGTTCGATATGTACAAATATGTACAATATACACATAATATATGTATATATATGTACA